CATCTCGGGCGGGTCATACCTTCATTTTTCATCAGCCTTTGCCTTGCTGTCAGCGCAAGATGAGAACCTACACTCGCTGAATAGCCTCAAATATGATGAATACAGAAATGAGAATCAGGAAGCACCCATTCGCAAACCCGCTTAAGGTCTCAACACGGGTATAGCCAAACGTGTACCGGCCGTCGGGTTTCCAAGTCGCCGCCACTGAAGCCCAAAGACCAACGGCGATACCAAGGCAGTCGAATAACATGTGAATAGCTACATCCGACGTCAGCTGGAAATGTTGCTGAAGGCAAAAAGAACTGACCATCCGAAATCAACCCCAAAGAATTCGTGAACACTCCATAAACCATCTGTACACCCATATACGCCAGGTTCAACAAGAGAAAGTAGAATATCTTGGAAGATGTCGGGGAAGACATGATTGTCTGAAAATGGGGTCGCCACTTGGGAGGGAGGATGGAGAGGAAGGAGTATTTCGTTCGAGCGGTAGAGAGGGCTTGATTTGGGAACGACCATGTCCCCTCTGATTGAGCCTTTGGTGCGCTCACACTCCATATACTGATCACTGCCAGAGGTAACAACGCCAAAACATCGATTGCCGTAGGCATCGGGTGGAGCGCGAAGAATTGGAGGAGGGGAAGGATAGCGAGAAAGATGCTTTTGTCGCGGGAGGATTTGAGATGGATGGATGATGGAGATGGAGAGCTGGCGCTGAAGGAGAAGGGGATGTAGGGGACAAGAAAGGCGGCGAGGAATGATCCTACTAGTTGAGACGTTGTGGATGAGAGGGGTATCGGTAGTGGAAGGGTACCCTACAGGAAAGATCAGCAGGTGAATTGTTGGAAGGACGAAAGACTCACAGTCAAGAAGAGCCCAAAAGTTACAGCAACGGCGATACCAGCAGAAGCGATACTCCGCCGTAACGCCACATGTGTCTTTTGAGCATCCTTGTCTTGATACTGGACTGGTCTCACAGATCGGAGCAACCCAGCTTCAATGACAAGCGTCGAGAGGGCGTAGACAAATGTAAAGAGTATCGGGACGTGGTCATGGGCCAAGTAGATTTGTACCAGGACATATATCGAGGCGATGGTTATCGGAGCCAGAGTTGCAGCCTGAGGTGATGTTAGAAAGAGTAAAGAAAGTTCCGTCTCCACTCACAGACCGTATATTCGACGGCTTGGCGCTCCCCAGAAGACTCGCGGTGTATCCTATTATCGCCATCTGAAACGGTCCCAGTCTTTCCAAAGCCACAAAGAACGACAGTGACTGGATTGCCAAGGTCCCACTCTTTGCCAGCATGTTTTGCCAACGCTCTTGTCCAAGGCTAGTTGACCCTCTCCGTCTCGGTCCACTCCAAATCAACCGGGCCTCATCAAAGACCCGGAAAGCCCAGTACGTCAGTACTAGCCACCCTGCACCTCCACTGCCTTCCTCAGCATGTCCTAGTACCCATGACCTGCTTGCCGCTATTGCCAGAGCACCCACGAAAAGCCGGAGGAAGGAGTTTGACGGTATACGGACATTGATCGCGGCCCGGCGTGGTGATGGGGGTCGGCTGGAGGAGATGCGAGTAGCGTAGGTCGGCCGGAGGGTCGAGATTGGGGTGGCCGGCTGCATCGAGACAGCATTCGCCTTGTTGAGATTTTGAAGTTCAGAGTCGAGACGTATTTCGCTGGCATCTGCACGCGTTCATCGGCGCGCATGACGGAATCACTTCCCCGCTCAGATCTCTGGCTTTTGTGGGACGTAGCGTTCATTGTTCGTTTTCAACATGTCCATCACTGACCCTGCACGGCACACTCTGGCATCTCTCGCCATGTGCATTCGCATACCTATGCTTTCACTCTTCCCCTTCGACTCCCTCGCATCCCTCTGACGGGGTGACTAACCGCTATATCTGAAACTTATCTGCGACCCCGCTAAGTGGCTCTCGGCCATCCGCCTCTGGCTGACGTGAGGCATCAATTGGGCTTTCACTTGCGATTGAGCGAGCACGGAGGATCAAACAACAAAGTCAGGCACATAGCTATAGCCACTACTGAAATGTTTCCTATTCAACACAACAACATACATAAGTACGATATAAAGAACAACACTCTGCGATTTCCAAGCAAACTCTCACTAGTCACCACGCCGTCTTCCTGAAACTTGCCCCGAGATTTGTCGCAAACCCTTCCCTTGTTATACATCAACATAATCCCGAAGTTTTTCCCTCTTCACGTCTTTCCACTCCTCTTCGTCTTCAGGATGCCCCCGCTTGACCTCGACGTGTGCTTGCTTCTTGTTGGCTTCAACAACCTTCTTCACGGCCGTCTCTCCAGCTTCTCCCCGTGTCTCCTCCCCCTCTCTTCTTCTCTCCTTGCCATGAGTGCTTGCTCAGCCGGACTCCAGGCGAATTTCACTTGGTTCCACAGCCTGTGCAGCGCGTCGGGAGCCCGCCAGTGGCACCCCGATACACTCCGTGACCTTTCCTCTCGAAGACACTGCAGGAAGTCCGAAGGTATCTCTCTTCACTGGCTAGGCCCCGGGACTTTTTCTAAAATAGAGGTGAGGCCAAGGTTGGGGTGAAAGCCTGGTATGGTGCTCCGTTTCTCTATCATACGGAGGGCGAGCTCGCCGCTTCCGCATTTTTCGAGAAGGTAGAGAAGGACCTGGTTGATTTCGATGCGGTATCCGCGCGGGGTGAGAATGGGGACATGTTAACGAGGTATGAGTAGTTTGGATACATTTTATTTTGACACTGTTGGGGAGCCGGTAGTGTAGACGGAGTGGAATATAGTGAAGAAAAAGACAAGAACACATTGATCACTGGTGCGGAAGGTATACATGCCGGCAGCAGTTACTACTCAGCATCCCATTCTTCTTTTCTCCTCCCTCTGGAGTCGTACGCTACTGTAGAGCGACAGGCACTACGAATACAAAGAACGCAAGCGAGCCAATGATAGATGACTTGAGACGACAATGTGCACACCTGCACTCTGCCTGCACGAAAGGAAGTTTTCGCTGCCTTCTCTTCTCGTCGAAGGTGCTGATATCAAACGCTGGAGGTGCTACATGATTCGTATGCAGGTCAAATTGCCCAATGCCACACACGTATCAACGACTTTTCATCTCTACGGACTCTACGGATAGGTACATACCACTGCAAGTGCACGATAGTATGCCATGTCAGGGAAACCTGATTCTGCATAAGTGGCCCTTGTCCGCCTAAGCATCATCGTCCTTTGCAGCAGGGCCCGCATCATCATCATCGTTGCCTTCTTCAGGGACAGAGGCAGCGGCTGAGCTGGCATGGCTTTCTCTCGAGGCTTTCAACTTCTCTTGATACTTTATATTAGCGATTCGCGCCCGTATCTTTGCTGCAGTATGGTCAGATGCTGCCTCAACCCATTAACATGCGGCGAGAAATACGCACCCGTCTCCACCCGAGCCGGATCCTGTTTAATTCTTTCCCTCCAGCGCCGAGTGGCCATAGCTCTTCTTTCTATGGTGAAAATCCTATATGTAAGCAGCTTGTACTAGTCTGTGTAGGGGGCAGATAATGAGAGAACAATTGACACTGACGTACCAGCTCTGCTTTTCCCTACAGTGCTCTCAATAGTAACGATGGGGGTATCAGTCTGAATTTCGTCTTGATAGCTACATCGTTTCACATCAGTGCCCTGAATCATGTCTTTGCTGATGTACAGAGAAACATGACGACTGATACACACTCAGAGGTGACCGCAGAACGTTCGCCCGTGTCGTCCTGTTGATTGACGCCGCCATCATCAGGGAAGGGTCCCTGGGCGGATTCATGTTCTATTTGCTCAAGAAGATCTTCGAAGTTGCTGTTAGTGCAACCTTGCTGTTTGTATCTGCTCCACTGTTGCAATGTCTGACTGAAAGCCTCCTGGTGCTGATAAGCAGTCTTTTTTCAGACAAGTATGAGGACCCTCTCCCACGTACGTCAGGCATGTATGCTAGATGGTCAAGAGTGAATCTGTCCCAGTGCCTGGAGAGTACCGGATTGGATATCCAAAGATCGTCCGCTTGTCCCGCATCCGTCTCTGCTGCCATGAGCGAGGCTAGAACAAAATCAGTGCCCTCTACTACGTCTTCGTCAGTGTTCATTTGGGGCGGTAACGGCGTGATATGATATGGAAGAAGATAGAAATACTTTTGAAACTTCACTATGCTACTGGTATATAAGTGGTTTTCTGCTTCTTTTGTGAACACCCGATACCCGCCCCTGAGAAAGGAATATAGTAGGCATCAGTCTATACTTAGAGACGCAGATATATATATATATATATGCATGTAATGATAGACTGGCTGAGAAAAGTCGGTCAACTCCGAATGGCACGCATATCTCGACAAGCATGATTTTCTTTTTCACTCCATTGATTAGTGAGTATTCGTATTGTACATCCCTGTTGTGCAGTAGTATCTCCTCCAACACCACACGCCAAGTTCGTCTTGACAGTATCCCGGCTCTGAAAGCTATACATACTGCTCTGGCTGTTAAGGCCGTACTAACCCCATTGTAATGGGCATAGCTGCTATCCACAGGTACGTCTACCGGCGACCAGAGGCCAGACGGACTTGATGAATCAACTGCATTAATCCACAAAGTTGCCATTCCAATAGACTCTTTTGCATATGAAGGTCCTAGTTCTCGAGTCAGTCGCCAGTGTACTTCTACACACACAGATGACCAGAATGGTGGGGAACTAGGGAGCTAAGCTATGAGAATATATATATGTGAGACAGAGCGGAAAAGAAAGATATAAATAGGTAGGATGTACTGTAGTGAAGGTAACGGGACAAAGGTAACTGTTACGGGATCCTAACGACCCACGTAACCGTATCCCAACATTGCACCCTACCCCATCAGGTAGTTTGTGGACGAATCGGGAATACATATCTAGTTTGCGGTACCAGTCCTCTTTGTTTTGGCAACGACACCATCACATTGTATGCTCCTGTTTCACATCAACAGAACCACGCAATCCCTCCCTATTTCTTCTCTCCCTCTTTACGTCTATCCGTTCCCCCTCATCCTCGTCTTCTGGATGTTCTCGTTTGACGGCGGCAACATGAATATCCTCAACTTCCACCTTCACGAGTGTTCAGCAGCTTCTCCTTCGTCTGCATCTTCCTCTTCCTCCTCACCTTCCCCCTCCTGATCCTCGTCCCCAGGGCGCACCTCCTGAGATACATCGCCTTGCTCGTCCCCGGACTCTTCACTGTCGTCGTCTCCCTCAAAACCCTTAACGTCGACTTCCCAGTACTCCCTCGACCGATCCCATTAGTAGGCCTCCTTTTCCAAAACGCTCTCGATCTTGTTCTTCTCCAGCATGATGTTGCTCTGTGTGGTACCATACTGCAGATACATGAAGGGGCTGAAGGAAAGCTGATGTAGCCAGTTGTAGTGGGGCTGAGAGGATGGGTCGGCGGCACCACGGAACCAGCCGCGGGGAATGTCGTCCCAAGGTAGAGACTAGATTTCCTATGAGCAAGTATACACAATCACCCAACAAGACACTTACGTTACGCGTGATCACCACCGTTTCTACAATGTATTCGACGGGAATACGTCTGTAGACTAGCTGAGTGGAGAACTTTGTCATGCAATTTCTAGCAAGTTGACGTCGCTCTTGATCCTCTTTGGGCAGACCATAGCCTGCTGAGTCGAACCCAGCTATCTTTGCCTCTTCCAGTGGATTCGCCACTATCAACTGGTTCTTTGGATCACGATCACCCAGCATCCTGATGATCGAGATGAACACTTGACGTTTAAAAGTTGCCGCTTTCGGCAGCCCGAGCGGGAGAAAAAATTGTCGATCGTCCTGTATTTTTTCCACAGTTCGTCAAATATTTGGTTCTTCTTGTGATTTTGCGCTGTGCATGACCTGGAAAAGGTGGTCATCTGATCTATCCTCTTCTTCGCTCATACATATATCATCAGAGGAGAGTATTGAGATACGCTTGAGGAATTACTATGGAAGTTTGAGCTACTTGATGGCATGTCAGGCCAATGTGCTCTGCTACATATGACATGTGCCGACTCACGAGTCAATTACTCTGATGGGAAAGCGTAGCCATGTATAGGTACTAGATACTTGCGGCATACTCCTGTAAAGACACGAGTACGACAATAACGTCCATTGTGAAAGAGAAGACTGTCCGTCATGCGCTGACCTCAGAGTAGAAGGAAAACAGTAAAATCATGCCTGATAAAAGTACAATTCGGTGTCGTGGCGCAGGCTGATCGATTGGACAAGCAGAATCTCACGCCTCACACAAAGTTAAGCTATGATCCGACCCCCAAGGTGGTCCGGTGGCCGGTGGTGGTGACAGAGTGTGGCGGCAACAAACGGAAATTGGGCTTTTCATGACCGACTCTCAGCGAACAAGCATAGCAATAGATGCAGATAAGTGTGCCGGCCAAATGCCTTGTCTCGACACCATAGTCATCCGAAGATGTCAAGCGGCCACAAAATGACCTGTTCCAAGACAATTCTCTTCCTCTTGGTCCATGATCTCGGTCTGATCCCAAAAGCAGAAGGGGCTGGATATAGCTATGGCGGTAGGAGATTTGGACGGTACGGTATAGAATCCGACGAGACAGTTTAGCCATGAGATGTATCCGAAATCTCCAGATGTCGTCAAGTTTCTTAGCCTAGCTATAGAAAGTGTGCAGCCGGGCCAGCGGGACCAGCGGCGAGTGACGTGTTCAATTCTTCCAAGAGTAGGCGGAGGTAACACAATGGGCTACATGCTGCCCACGAAGACGGAGCACCGTAGGTTCTCTCCCGGGTATCAAGACAATCAAAGAGAGTACAGAAGCTCTTGTCGCTGCCATATTCGTCAAGAGGAATCTTCTTAAACACAAGCAGGACAACAGGATAGGGCGTTGTCAATCGAGGCCGTTGCTCACGTAACGTTGAAGTACATTGTTGCTTTGCACGCTGTGCCAAAATCAGACTGCTTTGACGATGCATTGGTCGGCCACCGCACCCCTCCCCATCAACAAACAACGGCAGCAAGTGAGCGCTGAAGGTACAGATTGCAGACTCATTTGGACGTCGCAGGTAACAAGCCTAAACATACATACTGTACTTCCGCTACTACCGTTCCATGTTGGCCCGCTCGATCCTACATGGGGCCGGGTGGACTAGCATGGGCGGATGTAAGTGCCATGCCGTACATTATGGGGTCTGCGCCGTGTTCTTCGTGGGTACCCCTGTTCCGAAGAAGGTCAACGGCCCACGTACGGCGCGCCTGCATGTGATGATTCATATGGAGCAGCACATGGGCAAACAAGCCAGAGTGCCGCGCGGAAAATTAGTTGTATAGCCGAGTCTAGCTATCCGCCGCAGATCTGGACTCGTGGGATCAGATAGTGTCCATGCGTGTACCTGGCTCGAAGGGCTTGTGTCGAGCCAGCTGCGTGTACGGGCGGGAACCGGGACAAGCCTGCCCAAGCACCTGGCTCCACGCAAGCCCCGAACCCGACAAAACACTTTTTCGTCCATAACAAGTCTGTCAATGCATGCATGGTGTGAAGTTTTCTACGCATATATCGCGCCGTCCACAGCTACAGATTCATGTCGCCAAATGTGCTAGATCCATGCTAGAAAGTGGTGAAGTCCGCATCTGGCCATGGTCAGCTCACCGTAAGTTGGCTGAAGAGGTGTAATTTGCAGGCTTGTCACCTTTTCATATCGATATTGCTGTCCTTACAGAACTGGTAGAAGCATGCATGAAACGAGCTGGGCTATTTGACCTTTGGGTACTCGTCACGCAAACAATGGCGCGGTGCTGGGCGGGGAGAACGTGGTTCTGCCCGAGTGTCAGCATAGGCGACGTTGTTTTAACGATCACCTACAATCCACATACATATACTTGTAGGCCGGTGCGCCGCGCGGGCCGACTGCCGGCGATCGCTGCAACTAGAAGACGCTTCACTTGCTCGTCCATCATCCATCACATCACCAGCCCATCGCCCGCCCCTCTTCCCCGCCAATGCGCGTCCTTTGGGAAGATGAGCGCGGAGATGAGATGGCCGGTTGAATCATCTCCGCTTGGACCACCTCCCACCTTCTCCCCCTCTCCCACATTCTCCCCACCGACTTTGATCCTTCTCTCTTTCTTTCTTTGCCATCTTCCAACAATCCACCCATAACAAACATGCCCCCCAAGACGAGAAAAGGCGTACGTACCGATGGTTCCGATCATGGAAAACGTTGACTGATTGACTGCATTAGAAGTTCTCGTCCAACGACGATCCCAAACAGACTACCGTGAGTCTCTCAGCGTCATTCCAGGGTCGTGCTGACTGTAACCCATTAGCTGAAAGGTTGGATCACCCTCACCCCCTCTTCTGCGGCTTCCCAGCCATCCTACACAAGCCTAAACGAAGCACCCACCCACAAAAACCCCAAGAGAGTGGCCACTTCCTCCTTGGAATCCCACGGCGTACGTTCTGGTAGCCTCTTCTCCCCAGACATTGCTGACAAGCCAGAAGTCCACCGCCAAGAAGTCGAGGGTGAGAGGAGAGCAAACGAACGTTGTCGGTCATTTTGCCTCGTCAATGAAACATAAGCTGACCCGCCCCCATCAGAATCCTCCCGAGCCCAAAACAGCCCAACGTCCCCCCATCGCCTCGACCCAGGACGAGCCTGACCCCGACTCCGACTCCGACGACATCTCGTCAGACGAGGATGAGGATGACTGCCCCCACTCCGACGACGACGGCCAATCAGACGAGTTGGGCAACCGTTTTGCGAGGTGCTTGAAGGGGGAAGAGATGACGCGCACGAGTTCCCCGGTCACAGGAGACGACTTTTGGATGAGGTATCTCATCGAGCCCCTTGTGAAGCACGCATCTCGCCTGGGTTTGAAGGCAACCCCCTTGCCCGACGTCACGCACAAGCGACTTAGCGACCTCTTGGACTTCGCTCTGGGACGCAAAAGCGTGAGCTTCGTCTGGACCGTCTACACATTGTCCAAGCAAATTCGGGAGCGGCTGCTCCGGCTGTGGGGGTTATTCATGCCGAAGAATTTCCAAAAGCTCCTGGCAGGCCCAGAGCCCCCAACCATCACCCAAATCTATTCCCTCATCGATGCCAACGGTGTATACTGTAACGAGCAGGGTGTCCGATTGGACAAGTTCGAGCGCCGAGGTGAGGTTCAGAGTCGCTGTCTTAGCGAGTATTGGAAGGTGGCGTTGCCAGAAGGCGATGCCGACTCTGAAGATACCGACTATGACGACATCGACGAACAAGATGCCGAACATCAGTATAGCGTTCACCACCACCCGCCCCTGCCTTTACTCCTATATACGGGACAAACGGCGAAGGTGATCCCCTCTGGCAACACGATGGGGTTTCGACCGCGATGGAGAGAGCATGTGAGGAAAGCGTACAGTCGTGACGAAGCGGATGAGAAAGACAGTTGAGTTCAATGACGCTCTAGCCTCGATATGAACGATCTAACAGGCGTGCAGTCTCTTTACAGAAGAATTTATGAAGTCACGAGAAGTATATCGGATGGCTTTCGCCGCCATCGTGACAGATCCGGTACCTGTCGGTAATGACATCCCGTTCCGCACGCCGTCAACTTCTTCGCTCAGCTGAGCAAAGCGGTTTGCCACGAGGCGTGTGTTACGCTATACCGGGCTAACCCTGGCCGTCCACACACACAAGACGTTCTGGGCAAATGCTCCACGGGACTACATGGGAATGAACGCCCGAGATCCCCTTGTAGTGTCTTTTGCCTTCTGGGAGCTGGACAAGCCCCAGCGCCCCAGTCCCAAGTGTTCTACTTGTGGCAAGCTCTTTACGAAGAATGATGTTTGTGGGTATAGGCGAAAGGGACGCACACGTACGCATCGGCCGGTGGATTGCCCATCCCATCAAAACGCTAATGGAAAGCGCAGGTGAAGATAGCTCGTTCAGAGAAGACAGTGCCGTGTACGATAGAGGGGTGTGCGAGGATGTATGCGACCAATGCATGACTGAGTAGCCACGTACGTATCGGCCGGTGGATTGCCCATCAAAACGCTAATGGAAAGCACAGAGGACGTTGGTCCACGGAGAAAAAAAATTCGCGTGTACGATAAATGGGTGCGAAGGAGATTTTAGGACCGATGGGGCATTGAACGAACATGTACGTATTGGCTGGTGGGTTGCCTATCAAAACGCTAATGGAAAGCACAGAAAAAGAAGGCCCACCAAGAAAAAACAGTGCCGTGTGAGATAGAGGGGTGTAGGACGATGTTTGCGGATGAGTCCCAGGCGAGAGATCACGTACATATCGGCCGGTGGATAGCCAATCAAACGCTAATGGAAAGCACAGATGAAGAGACGTCACCCAGAGAAGAAGTTTGTGTTGTGATATGCCTATAAACGGTCGTCTACTATGTTTTTCTGTTACTTGAAGTCATGTGTTTGTCGGCCGCTCCACTTCGTCGGACAGTTCCCCCTATGTCATGTATCATGTTTATTTTTACATATCTCGACAATGGCCGATTTGATCTCTTCAGCACTTGAGCATCACAACAAGCACCCCGATCAGAGCATAAAGTCGGTGGCGAGAGAGTTTGATGTCCCTTCCTCCACCCTCCATCCGGGGCGCCTACAAGTACATGCGCCGCACGCATGTAGTAGCATATCCGGCAAACACCCCTCCAACGCGGATAGCCACCGTGGGAAGCTCTCTAAGATCCAGGAGGCGGAGCTGGTGGTGGAAATCAATGCTTATGCCGAGCGGGTACCAACCTTTGGGTCTCACACGTCCAACAGCTGGGGGAAGCACTGGCTGGCAAAAAGCTGGGAATGAACTGGACGTCGCGCTTCATCCAGCGTCATCGCGACACGCTCAGTTAGCGATTTTTCAAGTTCCAGGATAGCAAGCTGCAAAAGGCTGACACATTGGAGAACAGGAGAGATTTCTACATTATAGTGAGCCTGGTCGGTCTGCTGTTCACGCTCAACTCTCGTATCGCTTTTACGACTGTTGACAATGACACTCGAAGTCAGCAGGTACAAGTGAGCTTTTTTCCTTTCTCGAGGATGTAGACTTCGTTTCTAACAATGATATAGACGTTTCAGGTTTTTGGTATGAGTAACATCAACAACACCCGCCGATGGCATTCAGGTGGATGTTCAGACTTATGTTTACACTTACCCAACATAACAAGCGAAGCCAAATGAAATGAATTAATCCTGGCACTAGAAAGTGCTTTTCGAAAAGACGGGTTTCAAGTACAGCAGCTTTCACGACAAAGCGTAGATCAATGTTGAGTGTCGTCAATTAGTGTTCAAAGAGAAAAACAGTATTGTCAGCCGCACAATGTAGTAACTAGTAGATCACTCATAACACGTAGTGCATGATTGCTGATTTCACGAGCAAACACCTGCCATGTGCAATGCTACCCTCCTCAATGATTTCCTTCTCTGGAGGAAAGACACCAGGCTAGCGACAGCTCTACGAGGGGGCATCATTGTTCTCTTCAGCTTTGTTTTTGGATTAACTCTTCTGGACTTCTAGAGCAGAAATGATCAGGATCAGATCTTGTATACGGGTTTGCGTCTCCATGAGAGAGCTTCGAGAGGCTTCAGGGTTGTTTGTTCCTTCAGCGGCCCTGTCACCTCCATCGTTGCTGTCCTCACCCTGATTCTGTTTCGTGTTGCTACTTTCAGTTCCAACTATCAGTGCAACTTCATTGAGAAGCTCATGGGAAAGTAGGATCCTCACGTACCTAGAAGAGGCTTCTCCTTGAGTTGTTCCCACGCTGCGTATCAGTTGTGCATATTGGCTTTTTGCTTTCTCAAGAAGAGCGTAGAGACTGTCAGTCGATGGTGGCGGCCTTGCGGTCGCCGGTCTATCAAGCCACTCGTCGACGGGTGGGGGAATTTTTTCCAGCCTTGCAACTGAGTGGCAAAGTCCTTCTACCAGCGACCGTCATCAAGTACACTCAAAGGGGAGGATGAGGGCGTACATCAGACATGTTCACGATACTTTGAAGAGTCAACTCATTCCAGTGACTGGATATGCGGGAATCAGGTGCCCAAGTAGTAGCAGGGACTGCCTGATGTTCCGTCCCTGGCCTAATCGATTTGAGCACAAAATCAGTGCCTTCGACTTTTCTCCTGTTGGGATGGTCCATGGTGGAATGCAGTCTGTTTGGAATGCAGTCTGTTGTGCGAGACGAGTATCCTCTGAATGATTCCTCTTATATAAGTTCAATCATTCATTGCCTTCTACTAGAAGCAAAAGATAGCAGACGATATGATACACTGAACAACGGAGGCACTCTCCTCCTCTTTGCAGACGAAAAGAGAAATGAGGACTATGAAAACTCCAGGAGGATAGTTCGAGCGCATCGTTAGCCCTGCGCCATATGTGACATGAACATAAAAAGGAAGTCTTGCATCATTGTTCCCAAAACAATCGCGGAAGGCATGTCAACATAAGGAGATAGAATTGTGGAACTGACCTTTCACAAACAAACGACCCGCCGCTAGTTTGTAAAGATAGCAGCATCAATCCCCTCATAGTATCCGTACTTTCCCCCCTCGCCCTCCTCGTCAATGCCGTCATTCTCAAGTCCTAGAGCTGATATATGATTAGCATACAAGTGGCCCGCATCATGGGCAACACAAGCAGCACAAGCGTGACATGCCAAGGACATTCAGTTTTTTGAGCCTGGTGCTTCATGTACGAGTGGGAGGAGACCGAGTCCGTCGTAGTCAGTCGATCAACGTCGGACATCACTGCCACGATCCTTGTTCCCTGTAAGACCGTTGATCCCTTTCATGGCCGTCGCTTCTCCAACTCGTACGCCCATGATCTTCTGACGCGATGGCGGGTGGTGTTATTCTCATTCTCTTAGCAGCAATTTGATCAGCACCACCGCTTCGTTCACTCCCTAGATTAGCAACGATCCTTTCGAGCTTTGCCACGCGTCGTTCGTTCTTCGCCTTCGGTACTCCGCCTAAGCAATGCTGTTGCGGTCTTTCTCCGCAGACCTCCCTGTGCAAGACGTCTGCGGACTACACATGTGATCGTCCAGATGTACAAGCTACTCTGAATACCAGTCTTCTCCCTCTATGCTACTCATGCATGCTCGTAAAGTTGTGCAGTCACTCAACTTGTCATTTACGTAACCGCCCAGCTACCGCGATGGTGCCTGGCCCCGCCGATGAGTCGTTTTCTGGTCGTTTTCCGCGTTTCCGGTGATCTCACTTCCTGCAACTGCATTTATATCTTCTTGTTCCCAACCGCCATGCCCGACAGGAAAGACGTACACAACTTTGCCGCCGGCCCCTCTCCTCTTCCCTCCAACGTCCTTGAGGAGGCGTCCCAGGGTCTCCTCAACTATGCCGACACTGGCATGGGCATTTGCGAGCTCAGTCACCGAGGCAAAGAGTTCAAGGCCGTCATCGAGGGTGCTGAGGGTGAGTTCAGCTCATTCCATCCTAGTCTGTGTGCTGATTAGACGCAGCCGACTTGCGAAAACTCCTTCAGATTCCTGACAACTACGCCGTCCTCTTCTCCCAAGGTGGTGGTACCGGTCAATTCTCTGCTGTGCTCCTCAACCTCCTCTCTGCCCACCGTATCGCCAACCCCGTACCTGCCGAGCAGTTTACCCCTCCCACTGTTGACTACGTCCTCACAGGCTCATGGTCTTCTAAGGCCTACGCCGAAGCCCAGCGATTGACCAGCGCCCCCTTCCCCAACTGCCCCGCCTTCGCTACGCCCAGAGTTGCTGCCACCACAAAGCCGACGGGCTGGACAAGACTTCCCAAGAAGGAGGAGTACAATTTTAGCAAGGACGCGGCGTACGTTTACTACTGCGAGAATGAGACCATCAACGGTATCGAGTACCCTCCCGCGTCCAACCAGTCCTCCGAATTCGCCTTCCCCTTCGAACATGTCCCCGAAGGCGTCAACATCGTCGCCGACTACTCTTCCTCCTTCATCTCTCGCCCCATTCCTAATATTGAAAAGCACGCCATCATCTACGCTGGTGCGCAGAAGAACCTCGGCCCTAGCGGCGTGACGGTCTTGATCGTCCGTAAAGACTTGTTGGTCGACACTGCTGAAGCTGCCAAGCTCGGGTGCGTACCCGTGACTCCCATTACCTACGAGTACAAGATTTTGGCCGACAATGCTTCCCTTTACAACACCCCTCCCACTTTCCCCATCTACGTTTCCGCCCTCGTCCTTCAACGTCTAATTTCTGAGAAGGGCGGTCTTGAGGGCCTGGAGAAGGTGAACAAGGAGAAGGCCGAGCTGCTGTATGCTACTTTGGACAAGGCGGAGGAGAAGGGTGCCATCAAGACAGTGGTCAGGGAGAAGGAGGCTAGGAGCTGGATGAATGTTACTTTCAACATTGTCGGAGAAGGGAAGGAAAAGGCGTTCTTGGACGGTGCCGCTGAGCGGGGCTTCCAACAGTTGAAGGGGCACAGGTCTGTTGGTGGTGAGTTCTCTTCCCATGCTCCGAAAGGTATCTGAGCTGACAACGATAAGGTGTGAGGGCATCCATTTACAACGCCGTCACCCTCGAGTCTGTCCAATTGTTGTGCCAGTACATTGAAGAATTTACCTCCAAGCAGCAATAGATGGGTTGGACCAATCTTGGTGTCTTTACGGGTTGTCGCAAGTATTATGCATGTCTAGATCATCTATTGACCCTCTAGATTCCCACTTTGTTCCCGACCCAGCTCAAGATGTCGTCAACAAGTTCTTCAACACCCGCGGAAGGCTGGAAAGTGACAGGATTGAAGAAGGCATGCGAATCTCCCTCTCTCCATCGCTTCTCCACCTCGAGACCTTGCTCTTCCATCTCTTTCGCAATCGCCTCGCTGTCGCTGAAAGGCACCATACCGTCGGCCGTACCATGGACGACAAAGATTGGACAAGTAGACCGGGTGATAGGAAGGAGGATGTGGCGTTTGTCGGCGGGAATAAGAGACAGTCGCTCGTCGTGGGAAACCGTGGCTAGCTTGGCTGAGATACTCGGAAGGCCAAGGATCCTATCGACAAACAATCCCTGCTCAAGCCAATAGATGAACAAGTTGAACCTCCCCAAATCATCTTGGATCTTTCCATCCACCATCCTATTCGCACTCTTCACCACCACCTGCCCTTCTCCTCCCTTGAAAGCTTCTCTTTCGATCTTCAGGGCCTTGGCCTTGTCGTAGATGATGAACGGAGTAAACGGCAAGACGTTGTAAGGCTTGACCCAATGGTCGGAGAGCCAGTCCCCGCCTTGACCACAGCGGTCGACCCATGCGATGGGACGGGGCTGGACGGAGGCGAGGGTGGCTGCTGCCTTGGCTGGGTAGTTGCCACCCGACTCTCCCGACACGACGATACGCGTAGTATCTAGCGCAAAGCCTTGGGAAGACAAGACAGCAGAGAGGTCGGAACTAGGGGAGGCAATGTAAGAGAAGAGAGTGTGGACGTCGGTGATGATGTCGTCGGCGGAGCTAGGGAAGAGAAGGCGGTAGTCTGCCGAAATGACCAGGAAGCCTTTGGAAGGCAAGGTGGCTAAGGACATATCAGCTTGCAACCAGTACGCTAGGTGACGGGCAACTTACAAGTGATCCAAGCTGGAAGAAAAGTGTCGTCCCTGCTTCCTGCGACAATACCGCCCCCGTGAAAGTGCACAAAGACGGGTAGATGGGACTTGTCCTTGATGCCCGATGTAGGAAGGTATGCGTCGAGCTTGATGTTGTGACGTTTGTCGTACACAAAGGTCTCGGGACTAATGGTCGAGGCGGACATGACTCTATAAATCTGGTCAGTGCCCACCCCGTACATTTCTGGTAGCAAACTCACACAAGAAAGCTTCAAGTAGTTTTGAATATAATGCTGAACAGCAGCCATTGAGGAGAGTCCACGCCCCTTATGTATACGCCCGTCTCGGGTCCTGAGTGCTCTGGTGATCTTGCGCCATCCTCGACTCCTCCACATCTTTACTCAGCGAAAACAAGGCAACAGCCAGGAGCAGCAGTAAGAGAGTGGAGGTAGTGGAGGGGCGGAGAGTGTTTAGACCCTTTTGTCCAATGAGGAGCGCGGCGGCGGATATTTGCTTGCGTAATGTTTGGTTCTGGCTGTGGTGGAGGCGCGGTGGAGGCGAAGTGGAGTTTTGATAGCTTATCTATATGTTAATTTGTTCCTTTAGTGTTTCGAATAGTCACCACAATGTTGAGTCAGCCCTATGCCAAACCGGCTCCGCATTGCTTTGAAGAAGGGCGGAGGTAAGTGAGCAAGTTGAAGGTTAGTCAAGTAATTATCATCTCCCGCATTAATATACTCCATCTCAAAAGCATCTATGAGATTCAAAGCTTCGCCTTGTTATCAATCTTGCTCGGCAACAAGGCGCGTCTCACCATTTTCTTCCTAGCAGCGGCCAAGTATTCCTTGAGAATTTTCATCTTCCTTCGATAAGCTAGCGAAGAGTTGCGCGAGCGTGTCCTTTCTGCCACCATCATGAGCTCGCTCGGAAATCATACAACAAATTGCAATGAGAGGTACCAACCTGCCTCCACCCAAGCAGGATCCAGTTGCTTCTTTTCCCTTCAGCGAAAGCAGGCCAAAGATTTTGTTATGAAAAGACAGCACATCTTTCGATGACCTGAACCAGCACAGCAGGGGTATGGTTTCATGAGAACGCAAGTTACGCTGAATACTGACGTATCAGATCTTTGGCCACTACCCTAAAACAGATCATCCGATAAACAAGGACCATTCTCAAATCTCGATATCTGAAGATGCAACAAAAGATCGAGTGCTGACATTTGTTATCTTCGCCGCACCACAATCTCAAATACTCTTTTATGATTTCTGCACTGGTTCAAGATCGCCATGCACGACCGCATGAAAGGCTAAAATAAGTCGATCTTCCGAGTCTTACACAGTGCTGATGCGAGCGCTGCCTTCTGATTAGTAGCACTCAATGGCTCTTGGATACGCGACGACGCCTAGTTTGCGTCGACACCGCTCGACAAGTGAACAGTTATATCTGGCCAGCGTCTCTGCTGAGAAAGAGTATTGACGGAACTATACCACGATACCTTTCTTTCATCGAGAGACTACTACTATCATACATCAGTCTTCTTGAGCCTGGGAATCAGTCAGAACCGTCTTGATCAAACATTGTAAGAAGATGTGTAGTAGTAATTACATGGACGACGATCCGGCCTCCTGTATCAATGCACGTTGTCAGGCCAATTCATCTGGTCATGAGCGACAGTCGCTTGCTTGAAGACTTCTGACACAACAGGAGCCATCTTTGCTGCCGTCTAGACCAATTTATCATCTGTCACGCTTGGGAAATGCCCTTGGTATCATCTTCGTCATTTGCCGTATCATCGTGCTCTTCGGTAGATTGCGATTGAGCAGTGCTCATACCATCTTTGCTCTCTTTAGCAGCAGCCGCCTCGCAATATTTCTTGTCCTGTCGCAACTTTGCCACAGCCAAGCGCACACGCTCTTTTTCTGCAACACGAAGATCAGCCAACTCGATACCAGCCATTTGACCTTGTGTGACGCAAGATACATACCCTTCTCCACATATTCAGGATTGCTCTTTAGTCTTTTTCTTCGCGCTGCGCTGCGTTCTGCATCATCTGCAAGCAGTAGTACGATGTGTCTCTTTTAGCACGACATCCACTATTATAAAGTACGTCACCAGGCAAAATGCAGACTCACAACTTCTACTTTTGGGTGGCTCAACGCCACCACTGATGAGGTCTTGAGATTGGACAGACAGCGTGATGTCTGAAATAGCACGAGCACCGGACGTCTCAGCAGCCTGCTGAAGTGTGGAGTCAGCACGCGCGGCTGTCCACGTACTCGAACGCTCGTACAGTAGGGACAGCACTGTAACCTTCTGACTCGTCAACTACAGAAGTGAATATCCCCCCCTCTATCATCTTCTGACGTGCGTGCTCAATAACATGGTAGAGATGGCTGATTGACTCCTCGTCGTCGCCGATAGTGTAATTCCCCCACTCTTTCAATGACTGCTCAAACTCGGCTCAGTCATTGTCAGTCAACCTGCACAGACGGCTTGTTGACTACTGTACGTACTTCAGACATGTCTACTAGCCGGTGCAAAGTATAGTCGTTCCACATTGTGGACCTCGTCGGATCATGTATCCAGCTCATTCCGGTCTCATTTGGTACTGTATAAGTGGGGTTGAGCGAGTCAAGGACGTAGTCGACACCTTCTCTGACTGACATGCTGCTTTCAAGGTAGCTGATTTTGGGGGGTGGGCGTTGAAAGAGAAATGATCCAAATCCGCCCATATATCGTACGATTTTTACTATGGACTGTTCTGGACTGTATTTAGCTTACCCCGGAAAAAAGTCTCCTGACCGAAAATCCGCTGGACAAAGGGCGTGCTCGTTGCCTTATCGTACACCTGGAAAAAGAAGACTATTCTCCCAAGTTATCTATTCTTGAACATACTGAGTGCCAAAAAGTGATGGAAGACATGTCTTGACGTGTTCTTGACTTGCCGCATGAGTCAGCAAATAAATGACCCACAACACGGGAACACTGTCATCGAATATCAAATTCCAGGGCAAAACAAGTGATGTGATGACAAGCTAGCGTCTAGCACCATACCTCATCGAAGAGTACAAGTAGTTTACGAACACAAATTCTAGAAACAGTGGCCGTGGGCTCCCTACTAATTTTGGTTGGGTGGAGAGTCATCCAGGAAATGTTGGTCAACCGTATCTGACGACTGAATGAGAAACCACAGCCGAGATAAAGGAATGAATCAGCCATCAACGATATTCTACATCTCAAAAAAACACCTATGAGATTCAAAGCTTCACTTTCTTATCAATCCAACACAAGATATCCTTAACGAGCTTTTCAGAACCAGCAGAGGGTTGCAGGGTGACAATATCAAAGAACCCATGTGAATCGCCCTCCCTCCATCGTTTCTCCACTTCCAGCCCTTGCTCCTCCATTTCTTTCGCAATCGCTTCACTCTCGCCAATAGACACCATTCCATCTGCAGTGCCATGGGCAATGAAAGCCGGGCAAGTGTGAGGGGTGATGGGGAGGAGGAGGTGACGCTTCTCGGCTGGGATCAAAGCTAAACGCTTGGAGTAGGGGACAGCGGCAAGTTTGGCAGAGATCCCAGGAAGCTCCAAAAACCTATCCACATACAGCGCCTCTTTCAACCAATAGACATAGAGGTCAAACCTCCCCAGATCATCTCTTATACGCCCATCCTCTCTCGGTCTGCTCCCACTCTCCGTGACCACTTTTCCACCGCCCTGCTGGTCGAGCTCTATAGCATGGGTTTCCTCGTATCGGACAAACTTTGTGAAAGGCAGAGCATCGTAGGGTTTGACGTAGTGGTCCGCGAGCCAGTCCCCGCCTTGTCCGAAGCGGTCGAGCCATGCGATTGGACGAGGCTGGACGGACGCGAGGGTGGCGGCTGCTTTCGCAGGAAAGTTGCCCCCTGATTCACCTGATACGACGATCCGGGTGGTGTCCAGAGTAAGACCTCGGGAAGACAGGGCAGAGGAGAGCTCGGTAGTAGGGGAGGCGACGTATGAGAAGAGGGTGTGGACGTCGGCGATGATGTCGTCGGCGGTACTGGGGTATAAAAGGCGATAGTCAGCCGAGAGCACGAGGAACCCTTTCGAGGGTAGAGTCTCTATATCATCGTCAGTTTCTATATCAGAATAGCCATCGGCTTGGGATCTTACCGGATATCCACGAAGACAAAAGAATGTCGTTTCTACTTCCAGCAACTAAACCGCCTCCATGAAAGTGTACGATCACGGGCACCCGAGACTTGTCTTGTGGGCCGAACGTCGGCAGGTACGCGTCCAGCTTGGTGCCATAGTTAGCATCGTATACGAAAGTCTGCGGGGTGACGGTCATGGCTGGCAATGATGATGGGCTAGTATGGGCTATGGCACGTTTCAAGGCGAATATAAAACTCCTCGAGTATGAGCTGGCATTGATAAGCTGCCAGGAATTTACCGAGTTGCGGGTATCAAAAGTCGGATTGGCTGAGAGAACAAAATCAGGTCTCCGGCACCGTCGTCGGGAGCGGAGACGTGGTGGAGGGGTGGTCGCCGGCGCCCGAAACATTTTAGACTTGATCAGTAGTAGCTCTTGTGACGAGCCATGGTCTCAGGATGGGTATGGCGGGTCTTGGGGCAGAGAGGTATGTCAATTTACCTGGCAGAACTCATCATTCTTATGTACATCCTCTCATCAATTCACCCTCTTCTCAAGCCATTTTACAACTCTCCCAACAACCCCGTCAAACCCTTCCACCAACCCTCCAAAATCATCCGCCAATAACCCATGCTCTGCCCCTTCTACCCAGTCGACTCGCACCTGTACACCTTCTTTCTCCAAATCGTCCTTCAGTTTGTAGCTATCGGCTATGGGCACCATGTGGTCGGATGTGCCATGGATGATATACGTTGGCGGGGTGGAAGCGGTGATTGGAAGGAGTAAGGGGAGGAGGCTGGGCGGGAGTAGCGAGAGGCGTTCAGTGTATGGCGCTGTGCCAAGCTTGGAAGCGATTCCAGGGGAAGACAGGAGGACATCAACATAGAGTCCTGTCTGCGCAAAATGGATGTATAGATTGTTTCGTCCCGTCGTATGCCCAACCTTGCCTCCTTGCAGCGTCAAATAAGCACTGTCCGAAACCACTTTCCCCCCGCCTTGTTCAACCAATTTTTTCGCCCGGGTTTGGTCGTACTCGAAGAAGGGCGTATAAGGCAAGACGTTCTGAGGCGAGAGCCAGAAGTCAGAGAGCCAGTCGCTACCTTGGCCGAACAGGGAAAGCCACGTGATGGGACGGGGAGTGACTGTCGCATTGGTAGCGGCAGCGCGGGCGGGGTAGTTGCCACCAGATTGTCCGCTGACGACGAAGCGCCCAGCGTCGAGGGCTATATCAAGGCTGGAGAGCCAAGTATCGAGTGGAGTGGACGAGGTAGAAAGATATGAGAAGAGGGTATGCACGTCGGTGACCATGTCGGCTGGGGTGCTCGGAAACAGAAGACGATAGTCTGCTGAGACGACCAAGAAACCCTTCGCAGGTAGAATGGCTTGAGCAGTTTAAGCCAAAGTTCTCTTCAGCAGCCTAATTTCACATACTATTGATCCACTCGGGAAAGAAGGCATCATTTCGCGAGCCAGTAACCATACCACCTCCATGGAAATGGACGAATGCGGGTACCTTGCCGTTTTTGGTAGACTGTCGGCTGGTGGGAAGGTAAACGTCAAGCTTGAGGTCAAGTGACGTGTCGTAGGTGAACGTTTTGGGCTGGAGGGAGGTGGCGACCATGTCGATAGCGTGCGAATCTAAATGTAACGTCAGCGAAAGTATGCAAGCCGCAAACCAAAAACTGACGGGTGAGGTTGCTAGTGGGCGAAATGGATCATGTGTGATCATTCTGTTTGACCTATATACCCTCTCCATCAAGTCTTCCGGGCTCGAGTTCATTAGTTGCCACGGCGACGACGGCGAACACGAGGACGATTGCTTGCGTAATGTTTGGTCCGTGTGGAGGTGGAGGCGCAGTGGAACAGCTTTGTAATAAAGCAATCCAAATGCGTCCCAGTCCCCGAAACCAGCGTGGTAGTAAGCACGATGGTGTGCCTGAGAGCTCGGGAGATGTCGGGGATGATGGACAAAGGGTGTCCGATGTATAAGCAAGGATTGGAGGATAGTGGAGGCATGGACCGAGGTGGTCGCCCGTGAGCGCCGTCATGAGCAAGTTTGTGCCACGAGTGTAACTTTCATAATGACGTGCGGCTTGTGGCCTGATGTTGAATGGTCAGCATTGAGACCACAAGACTAAAGGCATTTACCCACTGATTGGAAAGACGTGGCCCCCTTACGCGCGCGCCTTCTCTTCAACCCAAGCGACAACATTCTCAATAGTCTCTCCCAACGTAGCCACCGGCTTTCTCGTATCCGTGTCCCACAGCCCATGCTCTCCATTCTCCACCCAATCCACCACCACTTCCAACCCGAGCTGCTTCATATCCCTCTCAATCGCTTTGCTTTCGCTGATTGGGCACATTTTGTCTGTTGTGCCGTGTATGAGATAGGCGGGACAGGTAATTGGTGTGATGGGCAGAAGGAGGTGGACCCTTTCCGGGGGTATAAGAGAGGGGCGGTGTTGAGGTTCGACAGCCGCTAGCTTTGCGCCGAGACCGGGCGCAGAGAAGAGGTGGTCGAGAAAGGTACCCTGCCTTAGCCAGTACGCCACCATACTAAATCTTCCCAGCTTATCACTTCTCTTGCCTCCTTCCAGAGGCACAAATGGGTCATCCGTCACCACCTCCCCGCCACCAGCCTCTTCCAGCTGAATAGCCCGCGCTTCATCATACAGTAGGCCGACAGTGTACTTTGTGATGTCGTACGGTTTGACTAGAGAGTCGGAGAACCAGTTACCGCCTTGGCCCCAGAGATCCACCCAGGCGATAGGGCGAGGAATAACGGTGGGTAAGGTGGCCGCTGCTTTGGCAGCATAGTTGCCGCCAGAAGCGCCATTGACGACGATATGGGAAGCGTCGATGGTGATGCCGAGGGAAGCGAGTGACTGGGCAAGCTCGGTGTTCGGGTCTGATATATACGAGAATAGCGTATGCACATCCGTGATGATGTCGTCTGCTGTGCTTGGATACAGTAGTCGATAGTCGGCAAAGATCACAAGGAACCCCTTGGAAGGCAGTATGTCTATCCGACACCAGGGTTAGCTGCAGATACTGAGCGATAGACTCGAACCTACCTCGCATCCATTCCTGAGCAAAGAACATGTCCCGCCTGGACCCCGCGGCCATCCCTCCTCCGTGATAGTGAACAAAGACAGGGACGCGGGCGTCTTGAGGGTGGGATGTGGGATAGATGGCATCGAGCTGGAGGCCGTGTTCCGAGTCAAAGAGGAAGGTGTTGTATATACCTTTGATGACGGCGGACATGATTGCAATATGAATGGAGATGTATCCTAGTAAGAGAAGACGAAGCTGAAGATGAAGATGAAAGAGGTTCTGCAGCTCAAGCGCTCTCGTCGGCGTCGTTTCGGTGTATCATTGCTCTCTGCCCGTTTCTGTATTTTTTGGGTCTTTCATGTACTGAACCGAGCGAAGAGTGATAGGAGATGCGATATAAACGCACCAGGTAAAAAAATGGCCCTGATAGACAATGTACTGGCTACAAAAGGTCATCCAGCGACCACTTTTCGGGGAGCTGCGATGAACGCACAGCGCTCCGGACACCCGGTCCTTCCGCGTTTTCCAAAATCGGAAAACCCCCTGAACTGCCCGGAATTCTGGTGGAGGGGCTTTGATTGAGCATGCGGCGCAGGACTCCACTACTCTGGATCAAAAAGCAATTTTGTGCAGCTACGTTGCCACTCAGATCACTCAGGTCACTCAGGTTACTCAGAGAAGAAGTAGTTCTTTGGGATGCAATGATGGGGCCGAGCAACGAAGTGTATACATTAATGGATCTCTGGTGAATATTACGAGTACGAGTACTCTACAACGCTACAAGAACTACATCATGGGAATACAACTACTACTATGGATGCTATCGATGAGTATTGAATGGTACGGAAGCTAACAACGATATGAATGATTCTACAAATCTACAAAGGCTATCATGGACTATGGGTTACTATCAAAGCTATGGGTACTACGAGGGGTGGTATATGGTCTCGTTCCGATACTTGACTACTTCAGATATGGTATCAACACCGGCTTGGATAAAGGTACAGTCCCCCATCATTCCACGGTGACGGCCGCGAGTAGACTTGAACAGTTCCCGGAATGACACGCGAACAAGCAGCCTGTAGTATTCAATCAGATCCAAACTGGGTATACTCACAACACAAATCAAAAAGAGAACACGGTGCCAAGATATGCTGTAAGGAGGTGCAGTGGTGGTGAAGATCCACTACTGACAGCTGTAGACCAATCAATGAGTGGAAGGCGCCTGATATGATGATTAGCAAACAGCCTTGACTGACAGCTGGCAAAACTTGCTGAACAGGTCCTAAAGCTCTGACGTCGCAGATGAGGCTAGGGCCGCTGCGGAGGCAGCGGGAGCCTCGCGAGAAACGAATGGTGGAGGCCCGGCAGCTGCAGCGCCTCGGGCCAGGAATGACTCTCGGCCAGAGGTACATGGAAGAGGACTAGAAGGAGGCGCCCCGACCATGAAAGCTCGAGGGGGAGGAACAAAGGTCTTGCGAGTACCTTGAGCCACGGCAGTCTCGGGGACTGCTGGATGGTTTGAAAGGGGCGAAAATGAAGGTGCGCCAACCGAGAAGGCCCGGGGCGGAGGTACAAGGGCGGTTCGGGTGTCGGCCCTGGAGTAGTTGGCAAAACCAGTGGAAGCAGGGACGGTATCGAAGCGAATTCTTGTGGTCGGCCTGGGAGGTTCAGAAGAAGACTCGTCATCCTCGTCAACCTGGGATGATAATCTGTGAGGGAAGCAAAGACAGAGGGACAGGTCAACTCACTTGATCACGGGTGCGCTTAGTGCGCCTGGGAGAGGGCGAGACAACGGGCAGAGCGACATCGTGGTTGGGAGGAGTGAGGATGATCTCGGATGCGGGAGAGGAAGATGTAGATGAAGAAGAAGAAACTTGACGAGGCGCTGGAACGAGCTGACGAGGCGGGGTGACGCGAGTACGCTTGGGGACACGAGCCAGTTCAGATTCGGTATCGTCGTTCGAGACCTGAAGATATGGTCAGTAACGGCAACCGTGATTGAGATGAGCAGACACACTTCGTTGATTGTCCTCTTGAGAGTGGTTCTGGCAGGAGGAGGGCCTCGAAGGGAAAGACGAGCTGGAGGAGCAACCCGCGGAGCAGAAGAGAAAGAAGGCCGGGGACGCATGGCGATGGCTCGATCAGAGCCGACAGAAGACTCAGTACGGCGGACGACAGCAGGATCAAAGACAGAGCGAGAGGACGAGGCGGTGGTAGTAGCAGGTGTAGCACCAGGAAGCGCGTCGCAGAGAGCAGCCACCGAGACTCGCGGGCCATTGATGACGGCACGGGTAGACCCATTAGATCCGGAAGTGAACTTGATCTGCTCTCGGTGACGAGCAATGACTTGAATGCGGGTAGAGCCACGGCGGTAGGGAGCGTGGGTGGCGGTCATGAAGTCAAGTTGACGTCGTCGAGGAGTAGGGCCAGAGGATGGTCGAGACTGGACTTGGCGGTCGACGTGAGCACCGGTAGCAGAGGGGATGTTACCATTGTCTATACCACCAGCACCTCGGCCCTGACTGAGGGCAGTGGGAGTAGAGGAAGAGGCGGAAGAGAGCGCAGAGTGGCGATTGGCACACTATCCTCCCGTCAGCCACTTTTCAAAAGGCGGGATGGGCGCAGAAAATACTCACGGTACCGGTGGGCTCATTGAGCAAGGTGGTCTTCCTGACAGTCATGAGATAGTCGCCTTCCACCCAGTGGGTAGACGTGGTGAGCTCGTCGTGCGCGTGGAAAACGTGATTGACCGCGACGTCGATGCCGTCGTCACTGTGGACGAACGCAGAAGCGCTGACACTGCCAGCGGGGACGACCTGCACGCTGCGCTCCGAGGAGACGCCAGCGTGCGAGGCGGGGCTGACAGGCTCGGTCACGGCAGACTCACGGGCAAAAGAGGCGGGGGTGGCGGCGAACAAGGTGGCGACCCTGGCGCGGAGGTGGTAGATGGTGTTGAACATTGTAAGTGCTGTGTGTTGTTTCAGTGCACAATGTGGTAAACGGTCTGATAGAGAAGAAAGAGAAAGCGGGATGCAATTGGGGGCGTCTTATAATCGTGGCGCGGGATCAGACACGGCTGACTGGACTTTTGATGGGAAAGTGATGCGTGTTTTGATGGAGTCACACGCGTGGTTTGATCGGTTTGATCGTACCTGGCTGCGTACTCACACCGGGCGGATCCAGCATCACTTCTGTCATCGTATAGTCAGTTTCGCACAGGTCAGTATGGGAAGACCGTCGATGTACCTCGATGCATGAATAGAGATACGAGGCGGTCTTCATGCAACAAACCTTGCCGACAGTCCACTCGAGATGACGCCTGTGTACCCGCTGCTTTACTGACGTACCTCGACCAGCTCGTCGATCCATTTTAGAACCCCCTGCACAATCGCAGGTGTAGACCCAACGGGTGCTCTCGTTTTGGGGTCTCTGAGCCCATGAGCCGCCCCACCCACATAATCCGTCCCCACCCTTAGCCCAAACTCTTTCATGTCCCGCTCTATAGCCTTGCTATCCTCTACGGGAACCATTCCGTCTGCTGTGCCGTGTACTAGATAGGCGGGACAGGTTTCGGGGGTAATGGGGAGCAGGAGGTGTTGTTTGTCGGCAGGTACTAGAGACAGGCGCTCTGAGTGAGGGGTTTGCGCGAGCTTGGCACCCAGGCCGGGGGATAAGAGGAGGTTGTCGAGAGTCGTACCGTTCTTCAGCCAATGAGCAAAGAGCCCGAACCGATTATCAAGGTCCCTCGCTACAAGATCTGTGCCGAATATTACAGGTGAATCAGAGATCACCTTGCCTCCTCCTTTTGTCCTCTCCAGCTCCTCTGCCTTGGCTTCGTCGTATTTGTAGTACGCCATATGCGGTATGACATCGTACGGCTTCACCCAGAAGTCACTGAGCCAGTCTCCTCCCTCGCCATAGAAGTCCAGCCAGCCGAGAGGTCGAGGGACGACGGATGACAGTGTAGCAGCCGCCTTGGCAGGGTAATTGCCGCCTGAAGCGCCGCTCACGATGATACGTGCAGGATCGACAGAGAGGTTTGCTGAGCTGAGATATTGGGCAAGCTTGGTATGATGGGACCCGACGTAATGGAATACGGTGTGAACGTCCTGCAGGATATCGTCGGCGGTGCTGGGGAGGAGAAGTCTATAGTCGGCAGATATGACCAAAATGCCTTTCGCAGGCAATTCTTCTGCATTTCTGGCGGTCAACAGCCACTCTTTCGTGCAAATCAGACTCACCTCTCAAAAAGGGTATGAAAAAGCCATCATTCCTGGACCCGGTGACTATACCTCCGCCATGGAAATGGACGAGCGTAGGAACTTTGCCGTGTACTCCGTACTTGGTGGGAAGATAAGCATCGAGCTTGGTATCGTGTTTGGGGTCGTAGACGAACGTCTTTGGCTGTGGTATATAGTCGACGCTCATGATCTATTGGACAAGACAGGTCAGGCTTTTAAGAAGATGCTTGGCTTGATGGAGCTCACAGACTGGAGATAACGGCTTATCGATCGGCTAGCTGAGGACACTCTTTACGACGGACGAGATGGGCTGTAGCAGAGATCAGTTTGAGAACATGTCACTAGGGGAAGGGGGCCACTACTGACTGGTGTAGGATGCAAGCACCAGAGGGATCCGGTGGCGAGGAGACTGGATTGATGGGCCACGCGCGAATGACGCTTGATCTTGAGCGGCGTCTATAGCCGTTCGCCTAAGCGCCGACAACCGGCCCACCGGGAAGACTCTGGAACAGTTTCAAACGAATGGAGTTGATGAGTGTACATATATTTGTTTGAGAGTGCATAAGTGGGATATACAGCAGAGCCACTTGGCTCTCAAGACGCGCGTATATGCTTCGCAATCTACAACGTAAATGTATAGACAACAGCTCACAACCTTTGGCTTACCAGCCATACTACCAGCTTCCTATTTTGCCCTAACAACTCTCTACTTCACAATTCCCTGATTGAACGACTCTCCCAGGTCAGATGCCTGGTCTCCACTTCAAATCTGAACAAGCCACTACCCTTTCGCCGGTACCCCACTACCCTTCCTCTTCTCGCCCGGAGCCCTGTTGTGCACAATCATATGTCGTTTGAGTTGGTCGGGTCTCGAAAACTTCTTGCCGCAGCCGGGATGTGCGCAAGCGAATGGACGTTCGCCGGTATGAGTACGAATCTGCCAACACGTCAGTGATCGCAACCGAGGCGGAAGAGTCTAGATCAAAAGGGGCAAAGACGTACGTGCTTGGTAAGGTTGGAAGCTTCGACGAAACCCTTGTCACAGTGAGGGCATACGAAAGGCTTCTCGCCGTTATGGGTTCTCTGCGCGAACGTCAATCAGAATCGCACAAAAGGTGAAAAGACCGCACGTACCATGTGGATTGTCAGCGATGAAGAGATGGCAAAGCTCTTGCCACATCCTGGATGCTCGCACTTGAATGGCTCTAGAACTCTTGTTAGTCATGAAACATCCGAACAAAAAATGGACTGACTCTCTTGAGCATGTCTCCGCATATGCGCCGTCAACGGAGCCGCTTCACTAAAACTCTGCTGACAGACCCCACAGACAAAAGGTTTGTGTCCGATATGACTTTGCAAGTGCCTCAATACCTTTTGCCGACTCTTGAACACTCGCCCCTCTTCGCCGCCGCACCCGTCCCAGTGACAAGTGTAGGCGTCTCGTCCTTTGGGGATATGCTCTTCGGAAAGGTGGTCCATGAGTGAGGACGTATCCGGAAACGATTGCGGGTGAAGACACCCCGGCCAGAGACAGATGAGAGGCTTGCCGGGAAGATTCAGATTTGGAGATGGGGGAGACGCGGAAGGGTCTGTGTCGACGGTGGAGGGAGGAGTGGGGAGGCCGTGACGGGTGTCAGAAGCGTGATGGGGATGAGGATGGACGTGACTGCAATTATTGGAATGGTACAGTTGCGCCTCGCGAGGATCGATATGGTGATGGTGGTGATGCTTAGGCGGGTGTTGGTTCTGCAAATCATGCTCTGTCGGCCATCCCACTATATCCGGTGGGATACCAAGATGCTCCTCGAGCACATGTCGAAGTATGGTACCAGGGCTGAAGGGCTCGCCGTTCGGGTGAACATGATCGGGCCCAGCCTGGGGGGGAGGGTGTGGCGGATGGATGGGATTGTGAAAGACACTGGTGAGGGATGCAGGTATATCGGTGACTGGAAAACAATCATCCCACATACAAGACAGCAACGGGTCTTGCGCAATGGCAGGCGTCGCACGTAATGACTCGAGCTGCCGCTGATAGTCCTGCTGCAGTTTGGCAGTCTGCGCAAGCTGATGCTGGTGCTGATGATGTGGCGACGGCGACGGAGGGGGAACTGTGGGCAAGTGAGAAGATTGTACTTGCTGTTGCGCCTGCTGCGCCTGGAGTAAAAGCTGATCTGGCCTCTGCGCCGAATTCCAAGCACTCAGATGGTCCGCCGCGACATGGGCAAGAAGATCAGGCATGGAGCCAAAGACAAGATGACAGTTGCCCCAGTGGCAAATGTGCGAAGGTGGTATCGACCCGTCGGCGGTGGACGAGGCTGAGGCGATCGGCTGGACTTGGTTGTCCACGGAGAAGATAGCGGCGAGCGGGTCGAGGGGTGGGGGGTGAACGGCGCTGTTCTCAGTGGGGCAGACGGGCATGTTACAGTCGGGTTGATTGCAGCATTCGATCTGTCGAGAAGAAAATTGTGATCAGCCAATGAGAATGAGGGAAATGGACAAAGGGGGAGTTGTCATCCAACTCACCAGCTGTTGTATAGCATCGCACCCTTCTGGCGTCCCTGCCCATTCCTCTAGCGTTTGAGCAGTCTGCACCTCGCTCATACGTTTATCTCCGCTCGCTGAACTGGGCTTTCCCAGAGTCTCCTCGTGTTTGACCCCTTCTCCGTTCTTCCCGTCGCCTCCTTCAAGATGCACATGCTGGTCACAGCAATAGTCGCCGCTGCAACAAAACGTATCGAAGTGGCAGTCAGAGGTACACTCTGAGGATTCGTTCAAATGGTGGTGATGTGTTGAACAGTTTTGGCCGAGGGGAGTGATGGGTGGGTGGGGGTGATGATGGGATTGGGAGGACGAGCCGCCGTGGTCCTGGTCGCAGCAGACGGCGGCGTGCGCCCACGGGCTGGCAAGAGGGTGATAGGGGTGGGCCATGTTTCCAAGAGTCGTGTAGGAAAGACAAGACAAGAAAATTAATGATGTGTTGTTCTGGAAGAGTGGCGTCGAGGGCGAAAGGAGGCAGAAGTCACCTGGCGTGCTATCCGCTTTTTGGTCTTTTTTGTGCTCGACTGGGCGAGGCTAGAGTCCGAAGAGAAGGAATAATGTCGGAATGGGCCAAGGGGGAGTGTTGCTTTCGGGTTTCGATTCACAGAAAAGGGGCAGACACAAGTGGCACTTGCAGCGTCAGTGAGGACCCGCGAGGTACTGGGTTCGGGGTGCTGCTGGCCTTATATCAGCGAGACGATTCCATGTTTCTGTTTTTGTGACGCTCACAGATATGCTGTGTCTCCTGGGCCATGCGTATCCACTAGAGCCCCTGGTCACCAAATGTATATCTGTGAATATGCGATATGTTCGGCTGTGTCGGTCACAACACGCTGTTGACAACCGGGTGGACATTTTCGGAGAAAGTTGACAAATTGGCGATATATATTGGCGCCACACTTGTTGCACACTTGTCTATGACCTGCAAATGACCTGTCTACATATAATTCACCATCATCTTGCCCTGTCGAAACAACTGAGCTAACTTCGCAGTGGTACATTGCCATTCTGTGAACGATATCTAGCACTAGTATTGGATACTGCAAAAAGGATCGCATGGCCTATAGTTCTGTTCCAGATCTCGCTATCAAACAACCTCTTACTCATCGAGATCCATCGCCCCAGGGAAGGACGCCAAATAGCTCTTGTACTCTTGCACTTCATCCGGTGATACCGAGACATTGAAGTCACAAGGTAACAGCTCCAAAACCTCTTCATCATCTTCGTCGTCACCTGCGCCTCGGAAAGCCGTGCCCTCGTATGTACCATTGAAAGTGAGTTGGTCTGGACCATCACTTGTGAGGGTACCGCTGGTATAATAGTAGAAAGAGTTTGGGTCACCACTTCCGTCTATCCCTCCTGGGACATTGGCCTTGGTGGCAGCGACGAACCGCAAGTAAGATTCTGATAATTTTGATTGTAGCGCGTGGTGAGCTGTGTCGAGTTTCCCGGCAAAGTCATTCTTGTTATACAAGTTATCCAGCAATTCTTCAGTAGACTTGGCCATCTCATCGTATGCACTGCTTTCAAGCTCAGTGATCTTTGACCTCAACTTCCGCTTTGCCTTGTCCCCGGCATTCTTCACAATTCGCGCATGCTGTTTGTTGACGATATCCGTCACTGTCTTCGGATCCCACGGATTGCTGCTCGAAGGGCCTGTTGATGCCCGCCTTATAGGTGCAATAGGTTGCCACATATCAGCAGTCATCCTCGCTTCTATATTCGTATCGACAACTCCGGTATAATCAGGCCGCCAAGTCCTCCAATTGTACGACACTTTGGCTTGCAGGCCATCGGGGGTAGCCATAACCGTCCCCAAAGTCCCGTTCACTTCCAGAGTACCCCAATCAGACACTTGAGAAGTGATCTTGCTGGCGACGGAGGGGGCGTTGTTATTGAGGCGGTCCGTCATGGTGGTCACGAGCTGTGAGCGAAGAGGAAACTTGCTGGCTTGTTGGCTTAGTTGCCGCCCAACATAGGGGTTTGATTCGCGGATAGATCGGATGGCAAGCGATCTGGGTTGCTCCTCAGACATGCTCGGGAATATTCGTATACGACTCGTGGTCGGTTTCTTTCTTTCATGCGGTTATTTATATATCAGCAACCACTCCATATTCGGCGATCCTATGACGGCGAAGGTGCTCCCAAAGACCGACTTTGCTGACCCTGTAAATTGCTGGGATTCGGAGTCCTCGACGAGAGCATGGAAGGATGCGCTGAACGAGGACATTCTCTGATTTTTAAGAGAATCCTTGGCGCTCTTGCCACTTTTCCCACGGACAGTAGAATACAAGGGGTCTCGTACAAAGGGTCGACCAGCATGGTTCACATTGGTGATCACACTCTGCTGGCTCCATGACCATCTTTTCATCAAAGGCAGATGAGCAGAACGCCGACGGCTTAGGATCTTTTGAATGCCGAGTTTGACGTAGAGCCGACACCGTCAACCTTTGATAGGTAAAAGACCTGCCATCTGCATCCGGCAAAGTCATTAATGGATGATGCATATCCTACAGCATACAATGGTCCACTCAACTCTCTACTTCAGACTTCTCCTCCACTTGATGAAAGCCACCAGGTTCTCGTACACCTCCTCCCCTCTCACTCTCAGCTCTGCATCCTTGCGCTTATCAACCTTCTTTACCTCCGCCCTCACCTTGCCGACCATACCCGCCAAGACCTGGGCAAAGGCCTGTTGTTCAAAGACGGCGTCGTAAGAACGGGTCTCGTCAGAGTAGATATCGATGATGGCGTTGAGGAGGGAGATGAGGAGTTCAGGGGACGAAGCGGAGGGGAGGAGGGAAATCAGGTGGGAGGAGATCAAAGTGTTTTCGGATGGAGAAGTCGAGGAGCGGGAAGCGAGAGAAGAAAGGATCTCAATGGCGCGGGATTTGGAAGATTCATCTCGAAGGAGAGGGATGATGTCCATCAGATCTTGTACTTGATCTTGCTGGACATTCTGCAGACGCTCATCAGCTATGCTAGACTAGACAGATGTAGGTACTTACAACGACCTCAGAGTTGACCTTGACAGCACCCCAAAGACCTCCAAGAGCCATTTGCATGATCTCCATTCTCATTTCCTGACCCTTCTTATTCAATATTCCTTGATCTCCTCCAACAGCGCGCACGATGCCAAACATGGAATCCCACAATCCCTGCGCAGGCACCTTTTCCCTGATAGATGCCACGGCCTTAGAGCCATCGGCGTTGTCGACGGAGGCGACAGCGGTCAAAAGAAGGTTGTTGAGTGCTTCAAGAGCGTGGAGATGGAGGACGGAGAGTACTGCTGTGGTGGGGGGATGCAGGGAAGGTTCGCTAGTAGCCGGAGGGAAGGACAAAGCTAAGGGTTGCGAGAGGGCAGTGAGTCGTTCGGGCAGATTGAGCGCCTTCAGCAAGTGGGAGAGGGTAGCGCCTGGGTTGATGACGACCCCGGCGGCCTCCATCTCTACTTCCGCTCCAGGCTCACGAGCACGAGAGATGAGCCCCTCATCGTCGACCTCGTCATCGTCCATATCGGCATCCTCGTCGTCCTCTGCGACCTCAGCGGCACCGCCTTCATCAGCGATCTCGGCAGCGACCTCTTCAGCGTCTTCAAGACCAGCGCAGATGTTTGTGAGAACCTCGAGGGCGGCGACCACGGTTGAGAGGTTGCGTTCGATGCGCTCAAGGGCGACGTCGGTAGATGTTTTGTGGTCGGTTTGGGGAGAGTTGTTGGATAATGTTTCTGTCGGAGGAGGCTACAAGTCCATCAGCATTGCACATGAATGACTACCAGTCCACTTACTATTTGCTGCACCAACTGGCTCACACGCTCACAAACGTCTCCAAGCTTCACATCCAAAAGTCCATTCACCAAAGGCAAGATTGTCGACCCCGTCAACTCATTGATCCCAACCTTCTCATCCGCCCTCGAACCCGCTCGGATGATATTCCTCAGAACTCCACAGACATGGACTCTTCTCAGCAATGCCCGGCCGTCGGGAAGGTCATCCTCCGCACCCTGAGCGGCAGAGTCCTTGGACTTTTTCCTGTCTTTTCGTGCCTTCTCTCGCTCTTTCTGGGCGTTCTCAGCCGGAAGATGGTCTTCTTGAGCGACAGAGATGAGAGTGGGGAGGGCAGTGGGGTGGACAATGAGTGATTTGCGGAAGGGGAAGTTGTCCTGTGATAGGGCGAAAAGGGTTTGAGCTTATCAAATGATCAGCCTCATCCGATAGTAGATTATACTTGAAGGACTCACCGGCAGCAGCAGAGACACCCAACCCAAGCTTCTCTCTTCCTTCCAAAATCTTTACAAGCATTATTTCGCAGCTCAAGCCGTTCACACTGGCCAAGGACTTGGGTCCAGCCTCGGCAAGACACCAAAGAAGAGAGATGACATTCTCGGAGAGAGAAAGAAGATGTTTTCGAGCTTGGTATGATTCGTCGGTGTCGGGGACAGTGGAACTCATAATTTGATCAACAGTATTGGAGATCTTGATGTATTGTCAGAACGCTTCCTCTACGTTTCACTCCCAACTCACCTTGCCTATGAGGACAGCAAGGTGCGAGATGATGCCCTTGTTGGCCATTTCACCACAGAGCTCCCTTCCACCATCGATAGCCAGGTTCCTACGATGTACGTTAGTCATCGCTACTGGAGGCCAAACATCAAGAAACATACCTCAGAGCTCCAGAGGCTTCCACGACGACCTCGTCAACATCGTCAGTCAGTCTCTCGATCAGAGCGCCGACGACATTGTTGCCCTGGAACAGTCGTCTGGTAGCCGCGTCATTTTGAATCAGATTTGAGATAGCGGCACATGCCCAGATTCTATCCGCGTACTCCGTAGATCCCAGCTGGACACATTAATTAGCATGCATCATCCCAGCCAGACTTCTTTCTCACCTTCTTGAGGACAGGCAACATCTGCTCGGCTTTGGCAGGATTGGCTTTGCCCTCACCCTTGCCAGCTCCGAGATGGGCATCCGGGACTCGAACAGGGTTGTGCCTCCATCCTTGGGTCTTCTTCTTTGTCTGAGCTTTTCCCATAGTGTTTTTTGATATAGCCTGTGCAGATGGACAGACAACTGAATTTTTGGTGGAGGCATCAAGGTGGAGGACGTAAGCTCAGGTACAGTTACGTAATCGCCGCTGTCAAAAGTTAGTTGCATATGTATGCATCGATGGACGACGCGAAAGCAGCGCGAAAGACATGCATGATAATGATGATGAGCCAGATATGAGCTCAACGACGAGCCAAGGTAAGCCTTGAGATATGTAGCAAGGAAAAGTTCGTGAATAGTGAAGTGAAGCGATACATAACAGCCCAACACCAGTCGAAGACTACATCGATCTGATACTCGTACTACCAGCATACTACTCATCACTGCGCGTTCTGCGAAGCACCGCCAGCATCCCCAGCCCCAGCACTAATAATGCTAGTCAGCTCACCGAATTTGCACTTCTGGATATGAGACATCTCACAAGGTGCTCAGGCCACTGGTACCTCCCGAACTGCTGACGGGGTAGAGGTCCGATTCCGGATCCTGGCTCTTCCTCAACTCGATAATTTCAGAGTCGCGTTTGGCGAGCTCGGCTTCGGCAGCTTCCGAGCGCTTCTTGAAGTACTCGATGGCATCTTTCTCATAGTAGTGGTGAATCTCGCCATCGCTTTGATTGTACATCAGCAAGAAGTTTCGGGTAGGGAATCGAGGAACGCACCCAAAAGAGCGGACAGCGATGTTGGAAGGGATATCACCGGGCTGCAAAGCAGAGGCAGAAGAGGCGAGGAGGAGGAGAGAGGCGAAGGAGACGATGGTGAACTTCATCTTGATGGGTGATGCGGTGGGTGTAATCGATGAGTAGTAAAATTGAGTAGGTCGAAAGGTTAGCAAAAAGCTGAGCTACCAGAGCTGAAGAAATGTGAGCTCGCAGAACTTGGGGAGCAGCTTGAGACCGCTATCCTGAGGGCTTTATATACCATGCAAGCCGCCCACCATTTGGTCTAGACCACAATTCGCCTCCTTCAGATAGACATGCGTCTCTAAGTTGCATTGCCATGTCGCGTTGAGATGCGTCGTCATGGCAGAAAGTGTCCCATGAGACGGTCACTGACTTACTGGTTGCTTTGTTTGGTTTCTATGACGAGCAGCAACTCAAACAGCCGTCGTGTCGCCGGGCCCACATGTCCTATGTCATGATGATTTCCTGGAGCGTAGCAACATAGGCTTGGTCTGGCGTCCGACGTTGTTGGAGCATGGTGTCTTCGTTGCTCGTGCGTACATGTGTGACCACTTCGTGTCTGCTCGCTCTGATCTCTTCTCAAACTGTAACTCTAGGTGCACTTCATACGTCTGCATGTAGTATATACATTCCTACTTCACATCCGCAAACCCCGAGCGAATGTTACACCTTCCAGGATCTTCTTGTACGAGATGCTCAAAGCAGGACCGGCTCCCCATCTTTATCAAACTCGACAGCTTTACCAGTCTTGAATGAGTGAGTCAAAGCTTTCGCGATCAGAGCCGCTTGAAGACCGTCATACACTGACGACCGAGATGCTACGTGAACGTCGTCTTAGCAACACTGTAATGGGTAGCCGAATATGGGACAAGACTCACGGGTATCGTCCAGGACACAGTCAATGAAGGCTTTTGCCTCGTGGATGAATGCCTCCCCGTAGCGGTCCATGTATGAGGGCATATCCGCGGTACCAGCTTCGGCACTCTCGAACGGAGCTCCAGCAGCCTTCTGTTCCATCTCATCAGCTCACCTCTTCCTTGGCAGAGATGGGAGCACTGACCGTGATGACTTGCTTTCCGCCCTTTCCGTACACTTCCACCCGACTCTCATACCCAGCCATCCCGGTTCTGCTTAGGTGCAAAGTGCAAGAAGAGCCGTTATCGTATTCAATGATGGCGAGGGCGTTGTCGCAGTCGCCTTGGTCGGCGAGCTCGGGGTGGGCGGTGATAAGGCCAGATGCAGTGATGCGGGTGGGTTTGATGGGTGTGCCGGAGGGGAGAGAGAGGAGCCAACGAGACATGTCCTGTGCGGGAGTCAGTACGCGAGAGGATATGACATAAAGCAGAGCGCACAATGTCATGAATACCGCAGTCCATAAAGATGCCGCCAGAGGCCCGGGCATAAGCCACAAAGAATCCAGTTTCGTCGTAGGGGTCCATAGAGGTACTTTTGAGGAGGTAAGGCTTTCCGAGCTTCGATCCTACAAGTTCGCCTGCAAGACCGTTCAAGGCTTGATCGTCTGAAAGCCGGGCCCATCAGCTGCCATCAAGTCGTGAAGGGTAGAGAAACTCACAGCGCCGAACGAACCCGATCATGACCTTCACTTCGGGCTTCTTACTGGCGGCGTCGACAACAGGCCTGGTGTCTTCCACATCGATGGAGATGGGCTTCTCAAGCAAAACATGAAGCCCGTGCTCAATAGCTTTGATGGTCAAGGGGGCGTGAGTGCTAGTGATGGTAGAGATGACTACGGCATCAACTTTGGGGAGGTTGAAGATCTGCTCGGGATCGGCATAACATCTTGCGCCTCGTCAGCTCGTCCAGGAAGGAGAGGGAAATGCACCCACGGCACGCCGGGAAGATGCTCCTGAGCCCATTTGGCGGCAAGGGGACTGGGATCGGCTATAGCGACGACCTCTGCACGGGGCATGAGGTTATGGAACTGGAATTATGTAGAGATATGAATGGAGGCGGTTACGAGGTCAGCCCATTGTCAAGCCAGAGGATTATAATGCGTACATTGTGTGCGTGGCGCTGGCCCATACGGCCACAGCCAAGGATGGCGACCCGGAGCTTGGGTGAAGAGGGAGCAGTCATTTTGATCTCTGGCACTTGCGGTTTGGAGAAGACAGCTTTCTGGTGCACTTTATATACGTTTAAATGTATATGTCGGCGTACTTGAGCCCTCCGATTCGGAACCATAGATTATAGCGAGCCGAAGTCCTCCGATGCGGCAGGAACGGTTCGGCTGCTGTTATGCATTAAAATGAGAAATAAGGGTATTAAGTGCTGAGAGTCAGGTGAAACGATTGTACATATTGCAAAGTTCAATTCCGTCGGTTTGCATTCGGCTTACCGAAAGAGCGGTCCGGAATCCGGATCGCTTCCGACGACGGGACTCACTCACGACCGCGACAGTTTGTTATCACAGCAAGAAAATACATATATAACCCCACTTCTCCTCTCCCTCACCACATAAACAATCACACACCATGTCTCCCTACACACTTCGCTGGGGAATCATTTCCACTGGCAGTATCAGCACTTCGTTCGTCGAGGACCTTCTCACGGATCCCACCGACCGTAAAGTCAACGACGTCTCCCACGCAGTCACTGCCGTGGGATCCCGTTCCGTCGAGTCTGCTCAGAAGTTTATCGACAAGATCAAGAGCACATCCAAAGGCAAGTCCTGGGCTGCCGGCGTGAATGACGGAAGGTTCAAGGACGTCAAGCCTTACGGCGACTACCAGGGCGTCTATAACGGTCCTGTACGTTTGGCTCTCTATCCACTCCCTCACCAGCTGACAGAGCAGTATCTACTTGTTTTCTCATCCGCATTCTGATCCTGGCCACATGTAGAACGTTGATGCTGTATACATCGGTACTCCCCACGTTGTGCACCACCGTAACGCCAAGGATGCCCTTCTCGCCGGCAAGCACGTTCTTTGCGAGAAGCCTTTCACACTCGACCGCGACGAGCTTGACGAGCTTATTGCTATCGCCAAGGAGAAGAAACTTTTCCTTATGGAGTACGTGCATGTGCTCTAAAGTCTGCTTTCGCGCTAACTTGCAAGTAGAGCCGTATGGACCCGATTCCAGCCCATTGCCTATGCCATCGAGGAAGTCCTCAAGAGCGGCAAGCTTGGTAAGCCCAAGAGGTTCTGGGCCGACTTTTCCATGGACTGGGGACTTGAGTGTCAGCACTTGCCTCATCTGCTTTGAACTGGTCTGACTTTGTATAGCTACACCCCACGACGCTTGGATGATGAAGCCCGAATTTGGCGGTGGCAGTCTCCTTGACTCGTCTGCTTACCCCTCCGTTAGTCCGATCCGGTTTTTGCCTCCCTCTTCTCCAAGCTGACCCTTGCTAGGTTTGGGCCATGCTTTGCGTCCACCGCCACCCCCTCAACACCATCAAAGAGCCCAAAGTCGTCAATACCCATCAGACTCTATACAAGCCCACCGGGATCGACAAGAACTCCCGTTGGATCGTCGAGTGGGACGACTTTTGTCTTGCGGCTCTGACTACCGACTTGGACAGCTCGGGATTGAGGGATGCTACCGCCGTTCTCCAGTGCGAGGAGGGCGATCTTGTTGTTGCTTGTAGGTCCCTATCCTGAATTGAGCGGTGCAGAGACTGACGACGAGACAGACCCTCCTTACCAACCCACCCGGTTCACGATAAACCCCAAGCCCGACCGCTTCCTCGGCGCAATCACCGAGAAGACCACACACGACTGCCCCCTCGCCCCCGGCGTCAACGGTATGGCATACGAGGCTGATGAAGTCGCCAGATGTGTCAAGGCTGGGAAGCTGCAGAGCGAGAGGATGCCTTGGGAGGAGAGTCAGATTGTGCAGGGTTGGGTAGATGAGGTCAGGAAGAATGGGCCAAGCAAGAGTGCTGGGCTTAAGGGCACTGCAGGGCAGTAGGTAGACTGGGGCTCATGTTGATAGAAGTTAAGCAAATGAATCTTGGACCGTGTTAGACCCAAGTCTGGAACGAAACGAACACGTTGCACTCCTCCCGTGAATGTTAGACATTCGTGCTAGTTGGCGTTTTCTCTCTCATAGACACTTGGCCTTTGCCACTGGAAGGCAATGCCCTGAGCGTAATTGTCATTATGACTGTGTCATCGCTGGCATCAGCTTTTTACACAGCACTTCTGCTATTTGAACCGTAAAACGTAATTAATGAATCTACGCGTCGACGCGTCAGGAGGGAATGTTACCAACGAGGTCGACCGGACTTCATTACGGCACTTTCTTTCAGCACTTCGCCCCTTCCAACTTTGTCATGACCCGAACCGAAATGGCGCCACGACGAGGAAGTCCTGGTCATAGAGATATTGACCACCTGTTTCCACAACCCACACCCAAGGCAACTCCCGCAACCAAGCCAGCTCCTACCCCAAAGTCAGCCTCGACCCCCAAGGCAGCCCCTCAAGAAGTATTCGACCTCACCGACTCGCCTCCTCCCAAAACATCCACCTCTACTGCTAGTACTACTGGACAAACCAAGATCGGCACGACGCAGAAAAAGCCGGAGAGAAAGTCGTCTGCTTCTGGGCCGGGACAAGAACCGACTGGGAAGCAGGTCAAAGTTGCGCCCATTTTCGGTATGCCTCAGGTTGCGGCCAAGAGGAAAGCTGAGGGTGGAAGAGGTCCTGCGGAAGAGTCGAGTACGGATAAGAGGCAGAAGCAGCAACCTGCGGCTGGACCATCGGTGCCTAAAGTGAACCCTCTTACAGCAGCTCAGCCGTGCGTTCCCCTTCAAGCCATGCCATAGAGACGCGCTGACTCTGTTAGACTGGCTGAACGATCACGTCCCTCCGAGATATCGCAATACATCGGCCAGACCGATATTGTGGGCTCGGGCAGTCTCTTGAGGGCGCAGATTGAGAGTGGAAAGCTGGTGGGGAGCTGTGTCCTTTGGGGACCACCTGGGTGTGGTAAAACGTGAGTTCATTTACGTTTAGCGAGCGATTTTTCACTGATTGTCTCTGGGAAGAACACTGGCGCGGCTTATAGCAAAGTGCTCTGGTGCGGATTTCAAGGAGCTGTCTGCTACGAGGTGAGCTAGGTATCATTCCCTTTGGCTTTCGACACTCATACCGATATGTTTTGCAGTTCGGGAGCGGCAGATGTAAGACAGGTGTTCGAGAAGGCGAAAAATGGATTGACGATGACTGGCAGGTGGGTAATCCCCACTGGAGTAGCCTATCCAACGCTGACTCGGAGTGAAGACGGACGGTTCTCATGATTGATGAGATCCACCGGTGAGCCGTTGATCATCTCATCAATATATCTCATAGCTGACATGTTTAAGATTCAATCGTGCTCAACAGGACCTATTGCTGCCATATGTCGAGAAAGGCTGGATTCAGCTGATAGGTGCCACCACCGAAAACCCATCGTTCAAGGTTAATGGTGCCCTCTTGAGCCGCTGCCAGTGAGCGATACATGCCCGTTTCATTGCCCAGCTGACAGATTCTCAGAGTTTTCACCCTTCAAGCCCACACTTCCGAATCTCTCCAGAAGATCCTTCATAACGCTCTGGCTACCCTCGCACAGTCCGAATCCCTCCCATATCTTCCATCAGACCTCGTGCCCTTCCTCGCCGATGTCTCTGACGGCGACGCGCGTCAAGCACTCAATGGCCTCGAGCTCGCCTTTCGGACGTGCCAGTCCCTCGACGCTGCTGCCCTCGCTGAAAGGGCCGCTTCTAGTAAAGGCAAAGAACGGGACGCTTTTGAGATGGATATCGAAGATGCCGAGGATGAAGCAGACAAGAAGAAGCGCGATGGGCAGATCATGGATGCTGTGAGGAAAGGTCTCCAGAAGGGGTATAATAGGACAGGGGAAGAGAGGTACGATATGATCTCTGCACTGCACAAGTGTTTGAGAGGGTCGGATGGAAGTGCTGCGATGTACTGGCTTGCCAGGTGAGCCTGTCTCTTCGAAACAGGTGGAGCGCGACTAATCGAGCTGTTAGGATGATCACGGGTGGAGAAGATCCGTTGTACATTGCGAGACGATTGGTGGTGGTAGCCAGTGAGGACGTAGGACTGGCCGATGCCCAGGCTTTGCCATTGGTACGTTCTTGTGATTATGCCAATGCGTGATTTGCAATGCTGACCTTGCTTAGGCTGTAGCAACTTATCAGGCGTGTCAGATCATCGGTCTTCCAGAATGTCGTATCAATCTTGCCGTAATACACCCTCCAAGTGTCTGTAGGAGTATGCTAATATATCAGTAGCATTGCGTAGCTTATCTAGCTGAAGCCAAGAAGTCTACCAGGTCCTATGTTGCTTACAACGCTGTAAGTACCAGTCTCTCAATGCGTGTCTTAAACTGACACATCGTAGGCTGAGCAGCTCACACAAGAACCGCCTCTTCCGGGCGTCCCGCTACAAATACGAAACGCACCGACGAAGCTTATGAAACAGCTCGGGTACGGTAAGGAATATTCCTACAACCCAGACTACGCGCATCCTGTACACAACGTAAGTCATTTCGATCATCGCAGTACTAGCTATCTGACTCTACTCGTGCTTAGGAATACCTTCCCGAATCACTCCTTCAACACTCTTCCTCTTCCCGTGATTCTTCGAAACATATCCTCAAGACTCCTGAAGAATATGAAGCTTCCAAACGGACTGATGAGAAGCGTTTGAGGGAGTGGGAATTGAAAGAGAACATGGGCAGGAGTGCAGCAGACCAGTAGCTGTGGGTGATCCAGGGAGCGACACCGAGTAGAACTCTCTTGAAGACGATACATGATTAGCAGCGCCAGGTGCATATTAGCGTTATCTGAGGCATCGCCAGATGTCCAATCCTGGTTGGGATACCACAGCCAGTACACCGTGACATAGCATCTAAGAAGATCGGAAATAGCATATGAGATCTTTGATAGAGACTCCATGCCAATTGAAGCGATACGAAAAGAGCAGCGACACGCCCCTCCTCAATATCAAGGTTGTGACCGATTAACAATAATGATGCATTGGAATACCCGACGGCCGAGATGCACAGAGGTCCAGCGAAAGATATCAGCTCCTCGCTGGTGTACAAGTCGTTTTTGCCTGATCCGAATGGTACCGGTGTCGGTGGTGACTGAGACGGCGAGCTGCTGTTTATCGCTTTTTGACGCACTCACGCGGACGTACTGTTCGTGCTTCGCTGTACGTTGCTAGCAATACGGAACGCTGTCATATCGATACATTCCCCTTAGACATGACCGGTGGTTTGAATCATTATCCCATGTGAGCATATCAAGCGGGAAAGCCGCACACATGCACATCTCGTCAGCCCAATGTGGCGGTGCGAGATGCAGCCAGGTACGATCAAGACACGCGTCACTTTCCCATCAAAAGTCCAGTCAACCGTGTCTGATCCCGCGCCACGTTTATAAGACGCCCCCAATTGCATCCCGCTTTCTCTTTCTTCTCTATCAGACCGTTTACCACATTGTGCACTGAAACAACACACAGCACTTACAATGTTCAACACCATCTACCACCTCCGCGCCAGGGTCGCCACCTTGTTCGCCGCCACCCCCGCCTCTTTTGCCCGTGAGTCTGCCGTGACCGAGCCTGTCAGCCCCGCCTCGCACGCTGGCGTCTCCTCGGAGCGCAGCGTGCAGGTCGTCCCCGCTGGCAGTGTCAGCGCTTCTGCGTTCGTCCACAGTGACGACGGCATCGACGTCGCGGTCAATCACGTTTTCCACGCGCACGACGAGCTCACCACGTCTACCCACTGGGTGGAAGGCGACTATCTCATGACTGTCAGGAAGACCACCTTGCTCAATGAGCCCACCGGTACCGTGAGTATTTTCTGCGCCCATCCCGCCTTTTGAAAAGTGGCTGACGGGAGGATAGTGTGCCAATCGCCACTCTGCGCTCTCTTCCGCCTCTTCCTCTACTCCCACTGCCCTCAGTCAGGGCCGAGGTGCTGGTGGTATAGACAATGGTAACATCCCCTCTGCTACCGGTGCTCACGTCGACCGCCAAGTCCAGTCTCGACCATCCTCTGGCCCTACTCCTCGACGACGTCAACTTGACTTCATGACCGCCACCCACGCTCCCTACCGCCGTGGCTCTACCCGCATTCAAGTCATTGCTCGTCACCGAGAGCAGATCAAGGTCACGTCCGGATCTAATGGCTCTACCCGTGCCGTCACCGATGGCCCGCGAGTCTCGGTGGCTGCTCTGTGCGACGCGCTTCCTGGTGCTACACCTGCTACTGCCACCGCCTCGTCCTCTCGCTCTGTCTTTGATCCTGCTGTCGTCCGCCGTACTGAGTCTTCTGTCGGCTCTGATCGAGCCATCGCCATGCGTCCCCGGCCTTCTTTCTCTTCTGCTCCGCGGGTTGCTCCTCCAGCTCGTCTTTCCCTTCGAGGCCCTCCTCCTGCCAGAACCACTCTCAAGAGGACAATCAACGAAGTGTGTCTGCTCATCTCAATCACGGTTGCCGTTACTGACCATATCTTCAGGTCTCGAACGACGATACCGAATCTGAACTGGCTCGTGTCCCCAAGCGTACTCGCGTCACCCCGCCTCGTCAGCTCGTTCCAGCGCCTCGTCAAGTTTCTTCTTCTTCATCTACATCTTCCTCTCCCGCATCCGAGATCATCCTCACTCCTCCCAACCACGATGTCGCTCTGCCCGTTGTCTCGCCCTCTCCCAGGCGCACTAAGCGCACCCGTGATCAAGTGAGTTGACCTGTCCCTCTGTCTTTGTTTCCCTCACTGATTATCCTCCCAGGTTGACGAGGATGACGAGTCTTCTTCTGAACCTCCCAGGCCGACCACAAGAATTCGCTTCGATACCGTCCCTGCTTCCACTGGTTTAGCCAACTACTCCAGGGCCGACACCCGAACCGCCCTTGTACCTCCGCCCCGGGCCTTCTCGATTGGCGCACCTTCATTTTCGCCCCTTCCAAGCCATCCAGCAGTCCCCGAGACTGCCGTGGCTCAAGGTACTCGCAAGACCTTTGTTCCTCCTCCTCGAGCTTTCATGGCCGGGGCGCCTCCTTCTAGTCCTCTTCCCTGTACCTCCGGCCGAGAGTCATTCCTAGCCCGAGGCGCTGCAGCTGCCGCGCCTCCGCCATTCTTCTCTCAGGCGTCTCCTCCCACCCCTCTGCCCTGTACCTCCGCCAGAGAGTCTTTCCAGTCTTTCCTAGCCCGAGGGGCTGCAGCTGCTGCGCCTCCACCATACCACGAGACTCCAGCATACTTTTCTCGCGAGGCTCTTGCCAGGTCTCGCCAGGCTCTCGCCAAATCTGAATCGGATCTGCCTTAAATGTCCCTTTTTGAGCTGGTGACGGGCAGGTCGTCCAATATTTCGCGTGTATGTCCTCGTCCTTGCGGGACGACTTCATACTGACCTGATTACAGTTTACGAACCATGATACGAATAATCGACAAGACCACCCTCAACACTCTCACTATCATACATGGAATCGCCCCTGTCTGTAGAGCTCTTATACTCTCTCCCCTTTTCAACACTGTCCTTCTAGTGTAACGTCTTCCCCAATCACCTCACAGAGTCAGTCACTGATCATTATCCAAAGCCAATATCCGTCATCAAACTGGCCAGTGTCAGCAACACCACCTCCTCCTGGACTCTCGCACTCTCAACAAGACACCGTTGATTCGCGCTCTCTGAATTTGTCTTTTGCCTCTTTGGATTTCTGTCTTTCATTTATTCCCTTCTATATTTGCACGTTGTTGATTAGAAGTGTGACCTCTTGTCGTGTCTTTCCGTTTCGGTATCTGTTTTCCTGTCTCGGGATTCTTGTCTAGAGATTCGAGTAGACTTCTATTCGTTTGCTTCATTGTCGTAGCCAAATAGTAGACCGACCTACATCAATACAAATCAAGATAGTGGTGATAGTAGTCGACGTAGCTCCCATAGTTCATCAGTACCCATAGATGACGAGTAGCCTCTGTATAGTAGATACTCGCATTTGGTAGCTATAGCCTCGGGAGCTTCTCACTTTTGTTCTATCCTCGTCATAGCTATTCATCACCATACTTCTCGCAGTAGTCCTATCAGTAGATACACATACGCCCGTCGTCTTATATACCCCTGTTCATACCATCGTACTGTACTCTACTATACCTCCATACGTATCTAGCCGCTGAGTTTTATGTGCATGTATCTCCTCGATTGTCTACTTTTCAGAACTAAATGTAAACCGATCACAATCGTAAGTACTCGAGTACTAAACATGCATATACTAATCAGTGGCGTCGCTCCCCTCCTCCTTGCAATCATCATCAGCCGGGCTACTACTGGAGTCATCGGATTCTTGTTCTCCAGAACCTTCGTCACGTTCCACATCCCATACAATGATTCCTTCCTTGTATACCGCTTGCGCAGCACAGCTATTGACCAGTTGCTCAATGTTGTTGAGGCTTTCTTGCCGGGACTCGGAGTTGAGACGCTCCAGAGTTCCGGTCTTCGTTTGAGACTTGCAAAAGTATTGCCTACCCTGCTTCCAAACCGACGGGAGATCTCTGCAAAAGGTGCGGATGCGTCGTACTTATAACACGACAGTTGAGGTTGCCACAGTGTCACCGGTTCATCGTCGTAGCCCAGCTCCTCGTAAGGCTTTGCCGAGATGACGAAGTGTGTTCGAGCCACACAACTGTCATCAGGGATGTGTACCGAGTAGTCTTGGTCAAGATCGGACATTCTATGCTCTTGGTTCTTGGGCTGGGTGGCGGTGATGAAAGAGTTGACTGATGTGGTTCATGGTCACGGCCTTCTTATACCGACCATAGCATGAGCGCACTATAGCTGGCTTCTAAATTGCATCGAGTTTTGGCTCTGGTACGGTTTGAGGGCAAGTACACAGGAGGCTCAGAAATACTGCTAGCATCATTTGCTAATGGTAGGCTACGGCACGGCACAAAAGAGACTGTGATATGCATTCAAGCGGAGCTACAAGAGGGGGTCACAGATGAATATCAGCCTGCAATATGTGGTACTATACCCTTCACGGTTCCCAGAATGCTACATCAAAAGATCCTTTGATGATACACGTCGAAGCAAAAGTCAGATGGTACCGATTGGCCTGCGCAGACCTTTTTGCGTACATTCACAGCTGTCAAGCAATTTGAACTCAGCTCTAGTAGCAAGGGACACATCGATGAACATGACCCTGATCAGACCAGAAGTGGGGTATGGCATCAGTATCTTCGACGACGTGGAAGGCTCGAGGTCCGAGCGTCTGAGATGATAGTGGAAACTAATGCATATGGTCAAAATCCCTGTCGTAATACATACAAGACATATCCTCTTTCTCTCCACTCTACATCCATCGACCAAGCATATGTCCAAGAGGCCACGATACGGTCTCTTAGAAAGCCCCGACCTTTGCGCCATTCTCCAGCAGCTTCTTCCTACCCTCTCCTCCAAAGACAGATTTCCAAAGCTCGTCTCGCACTTCGGGAAGAGTAAGGATAGTGCGTGTTTTGGAGTCTTGGTGGGAGATGTCGAGGAGCAGGGTGGTGTGTTTTGTGATTTTGAGCGCCCCTGGAGATATGTCAGTCCGATGTTGAAACGTGAGCGCAGGCAGAGAACATACCTTCAGCAAGGAGTTTGCCCACACGGGATGGGGTCCCCACAGCAATGGAAACTTTCGTTCGGGCGAGGTAGTTGACCTGGTCGGCCACCTTGAAGTGTTTGGCGAAGAGCTGGGAAGATAGTCAGAGACGTTCACGAAAAGAAACACTAAGGAGCGCGCTATGCTCACCTTTACAACTTCTCCCTCACCCTTGACATCCCGCACAGCCCTTACCACATCGGCACATCTCAATCCACTAAGGGCCAGTATGATAACCTTTGGCGTACCATTGCTCTTGGGTGCCTTCTTGTTCTCGATAAGGGCATCAAGCTTCTGTTGCAGGGGCTTGAAAGGATTGCTGGGGTCGGATATGGGCGCGGGATATGATGGTGGGGGAAGGATGTTGTCTTGGGGGATGATGATGTCTTCAATCTCCATGGCAGTCCCTGACGGATACGACTCGCGGATCGAGCGCAGGAGGATGGCTGAAAGGTCTTCTTTGGAGAGATGGGTGGGGGCGTTGGATGCACCAGAAACTTTATCGGCATTCTGGCGTTTCTACTACTCGTATGAGACAATGGTCTGGAATGACAACGATTGTGTGACTCACCTTCTGCTTCCTCTCCTTCTCTTTCTCCTTCTTTCGCCTCTTCTTGTCCGCCGCTTTGGCCTGTTCGTCGTCCGCAGCTGCCGGCGCATCTACCGTCTCATCTTCTTCCAGCTTTCGTTTCTTGCCTTCAATCACCGGGCTCATAGAGATTTCTGTCTCTTCACCCTCGATCACGTATTGGGGAGCTCCCTCAACTGGGACATCCTCTTGCTCATCGCCAATCTCCGAGCCGGCCTCAGAGGCAACGTCTTCAGCGTCAGAGTCGGCCAGGAGGTCTTGATCGTAGTCGAGACCATCGTCGAGGTCGTCTCCGCCGGTCTTGATGGCCTTGTTTGTTTCCTGCACCATTGTAGTAAGTGAAGTATAAAATTGACTTGTCAACAAACAAACTGATCACACTTTTTCGTTGCCTCCACCACGGCCCGCCGGGGGCCGGTTTTCAGATCCGTTACGTAAACCCGATTTCATCTTCGACGCGACGGCTTGGCCAGCGCGAACGATATTTGTTGTTGCAACTGTAAACAATAAGTCACTCGGAAAAATGGCCCAGGATCCATCTCTGTGGGTCACAGGAACCTCCCTTGGTCTTCAGGCCCTTGTACCCATTGTCATCGGCTCTTACAAGTCGCTCAAAGTACGTCCCCGTAGTCCTCAAGACGTTTCACTGATTCATTGACAGACACCAGAGGACACCAAGAGGAGGCTCAGAAATGCCCAAAAGGGAAAAATCCCATTGGAATCAGATGACGATGAAGACGATGGTTTAGAGGAGCCATTGACATGGTGGGACTCGCTACTGTTTCCAGTCATAGGATCGGTGGTCTTGTTGGGCTTTTACGGGATCGTCAAGTACTATGGGACCGAATGGCTGAATAAGTTCATGAACGCGTACTGTGAGTCTAGTCCCTCAACTACTCAAGAGCATTACTGACGCTAAATACAGTCAGCATTGCCGGTGTATTCGCGATACAGTCTGTACGTGGCTAGGACCTGACACGTATACTGGACTAACCATGTCACAGACGTTCTCTACGATATTATCCTTCCTACTTGGCGCCCTTGGCGTCACGTCTACCATCTACCATGTCCGTGTGTCTTCGGGATTCCGACGTGAGTTGATGGGCGACTTCATCGGGGGCGAAGCTCATCGCGCCTTTAGAGATTTTCCATCTGCCCGTCACTCTCTCCTCTCTGTTCCTCATTCCCGTCGCCATCTCAATCCCTGCGGCATATATCTACTTTGGCAAGCCCTATATTCTGTCAAACATCCTCGCTCTTAGCTTGTCCACTGAGACTTTGGGTCTCCTAAAGTTGGACTCTTTTGCAACAGGATTCATGCTGCTGGGAGCATTGCTCGTATACGATGTCTTCTGGGTAAGTCCTGCTTCCTCTCGTCATTCATCCAAGCTTATCATACTTAAGGTCTTTGCCACACCCGTCATGGTCACCGTCGCTAAGACAATCGACGCCCCTATTAAAATCCTCTCTCCCAAAACATCCCCCTTCGCCTCCCCCACAGAATTCTCCATGCTCGGTCTCGGTGACATTGTCGTCCCCGGCCTCATCATTGCTCTTTGTCTCAGATATGACCTCTACCGCTACGCGCAAGCTCACAAGGGTCAGAATGTCACCCCCAAGAGCAAGTTTGGGAGGGGTTACTTTAATGTGGCGGCCTTGAGTTATGTGTTGGGTTTGGGCGTTACTATGGCTGCGATGGGATGGAGTGGACGGGCTCAGCCTGCGTTGCTCTATTTGAGCCCTGCTTGTAGTGAGTCTGTCGCGATATCTGCTCGGTTTCTTGCTAATGCGCTTCCCTAGCCTTGGGGCCTCTTCTCTACGCCGCTGTCCGAGGAGAGCTCTCCCAGCTCTGGGCATACTCTGAATCCTCAGAAACGCCCGAGGACCAGAAGCTTCTCGATTCCACCATTGAAGCCGCCTCCGAAGCCGCCATCAAAGCCCGGGCTGAAGCAAAGGCCGCTGAGGTTGAGGCTGCTGTCGCTGGCGATAGGCTTGACGAGAAGGTGGAGCAGAAGGTGGAGGAAGACGATAGCTGGATGAACGACACGGCTGGTGCTGGAGCATCAGAAACAAAGCCGAAGAAGAAGAAGGGAAACAAGAAGAAGTAGATTTGAGAGACTACTCCCGACCGAACCGCGTGGCCGCACATCATCAAGCGCATGCTCGATCATTTCAAGGGTGTGTACCAATGCCCATCTTAGATCTTATGCATAGTCATCAACAGCTGCGCAAACAATGGCTACCTCAAGACTCGCTCTTGACAGCAGCATCTGGGGTCTCTCACGTCCCACCCCTTTCCGAGCCGTCTATAGCGCCACTCCCTTGCACTCTTGTGATATGACTCTCTGGTAAATCCCGTGCAATGATGCTCCAATCCACAGTTCCCACTATCTCCGTCTCCACTTTCTTTGCATATGTCCGCCCCAAATCCTCCATCGCCTGGCAACTTTCCTGCTCCGTCGGTCTTGTGTAGTGCTGTTGGTTGATCGAGTTGCTGCTCAGGAATGAGTCGACAGAGTTCAGCACCTCGGTACCTAGACGCTCTGCTTTATCCCGCATCCTTGACCGGGAGGCCCCATCGGCCAAGAACGAGACTGATGGACTGTACAAAGTGTGACCGACACTCTTGGCTGTGACCTCAGTCGGGGTGGTCGAAACAGTAAAGCGCGTCCGGGGAAAGATGGAAGCGTTGGACGAAGGGTCTACTTGTGGCATGGTCGGTTTGTTGGATGTAGCTCTGTATAGTACCCGTATGTACTGTGCGAATGATGAGAAAGAGACCAGCATCTCGCTGTAACACTTCGTCAGCCATAAGCACCATTTCAGTCGACCTCCCTTGTGAGAATGACTCCACGGGTTTTCCTGGGCGACGCACAATGGATCGCCGGGGCCCGACTTCACTACAAGATAAGGAAGTGACCCGTGGCGAAGGTGAGTAGTTTGTCTGAGCACGACATGGTCCCTTCTTTTACAGGTCCTGAGGCCTTCGAGAGGCACCATGGGTCCTACAGACGACCCCGCAAGGCCCCGACGAATTATGCTAAGAATTTCATTGGCCGATGTAGTTTTGCCCCAGGCAATGCTTATCGCAGCAGCCCCCTTCATTGATACTGGTTTTGTTTATGCACTTTACCTTTACCCCATACTCTTGCAGAACTAGCACTGGATACCGCCTCACGAATCATCTACCTTTGATCATTATGTATGCGAACGCTCTTTTCATCCTGCTTTTTTACGGCTCACACAAGTCCTGACAGAGATTGGAGACCCAGAACGTCCCGAGATAACGCGGTTTGTTGGTCGACAAGACATTCTCGACGTTCAAAACTTGAAGCTGCCTCCGTCTATCATGATCTCATGAACGCTATCAAGAGGGCATCGTCGTATTAGATGAAAACAAATAGCGACACTTGCCAAAGCTCTGCCCACTGACTATGCCACACATGATATGATTGGAGGAGAGCAGAAAGAACTCAACATCTTACCTCATCCTTTGTGTCAGTCGCCTATTACAGGCTGACCAAAAGTCGAAATGCACCACAGTCGATCACGCCGCTGTTCGAGGCAGAATACTTGTTGAGACTCGCAGGAGAAGCTAGCCTCACTGTCATAGAGCCACTTCTTCTAGACTTAATGATATTGCCTCTGCAAACACTATCGCGGGTCTATGGTGTGGAAGCATTGCTGGGGTGCATTCGGAATACGAAAGCGAAAGATGTATCAACCTCAGAGTTTCTGCCAGGTCGCCTGCTGATCAATCTCGAACAAAGCTCCACTCCACCGTCCCTGTCTTTGTCTCTTCGACGGCAGCAAAATCCTCCACTATCTCCTCCACGGTAACTACACTTCCGTTGCCGCCATCATTACGCGACACGAGAGGATCCTTGCCCGGGGGCTGTCCTTGTAGTGTTGAGACGGCATCGCAGATGAATTGACCGAAAGCATCGGAGATCTCGGATCTGACAGAGTCTAAATGTGTTTTGTAGGACAAGGTTGGCCGCCACACCACCTCAGAAGATTCGTCTTCTCCGTCGTCCACGTTGGATGCAACTGCAGTGGTAGAGACGGTGAATCTGCCACGAGGGAGAGCATTTGAAGCTGGTTCACTGTCATCAACTTTGGGCATAATGTTTGTGATGAGGAGTGGTGTATTCGATCAATATTGTCAAGAGACTGGTCGTCTCGACCCATGCTGCCTTTTTTATATACGTTTTTGGAAGTTGACATTGGCTGACCTCATTACTTCTATAATTGTCTTCTTCTCAAATTCGGTCCCGATCTATGAGTCCATTCATTGGAAGCTTATTACGCAGGCGGCAAGCAATAATAATATACTTTAGCTTTGTGGGGCCAGGATGCGAGAGTGCTGCTCAGTCGATGGACAGTCATTGTGCGAAAGGAGATTATCGGTCTTCCAAAAACCCATCGTTTACTAGTCTCAGTCTCAGACATCGGGTTGATGTTTAGCAGGAGTGCATTCAACTGGTGGCAAGAGTATTCCTTTGGCAACATTCGGAAGGTAAACATGTAGTAAATGTAGCTTGGTATAATGACGGTCACCCTTTCACCATAACCACACTTGAACAGCCGACGATGCGGGACTTATCTGACTAGTTCATTCTAGCGATCATCTGTCTCAAACGTTCTTTCAAACCTGACCCAGGCATGCACGAATACTTTTTCTACGACGAGTGATGGGATGATGAGGTCAATGGCTGCAGGTGGCGAGCACTATACGGGCGTTCATCTTTGCATGCTGCAGCTGACCTGCTGTGAGGATAATCTATCTATTTCGCTTCACAGCTTCTTTCCCCTCATCATCGCTTGACACAATACTGCCATCCATGCCGGCCACCTCCTCTTCCTTCTCCTTACTCTTTGTTACAATGCTCCACTCTACAGTCCCTAGGGTCTTTTCTTGTCGAGAAGCTAATTGCTCTACTGCGGTCTCCATGAAACGCAAGCTTTTGGCCCCCTCGTCATTGCGCGACGAGAGGATCTCTCGGCCGAGGGCCGTTCGAGAAAGATCCATGATGTCGCTGCAAACCGAATCGCCAAACTTTTCAGAAAATTCCGGAAGAACAGAATCCGCATCGGTGTCATAGAACACGCAAGATCGCCACTCCACATCTGTTTGTTCTTGTCCCTCCTTGTATTCGGCATCGTCAGGACAGAGGCGGACATGGTGAACCTTCCACGAGGGATGATTTCTGAAGCTGGGGCGCTGTTATCGACTTTGGGCATGATGATATGTAGTTACAGGTGTTTTGTGAATGTCAAGAGGAGATTCAGTTCTTGATGTAGTACTTGCTGTGGTGAGATGTTGTTGTAAGACAGCTAATTTTCATGGCACCTTTTTATACTGCATAGAGAGTCTGAAAATAGTCTCTATGCTGCAACACATGTCTGTTCCATTCCATCCGACGTTCATGTGTCCATTCATGGCTCGCTTCCGTCTATGGTCTGCTCATAGGAGGAATGTCAAGAAATAGCCTGCGGAACCATCCTTGCTGCATAGAATAGTGAAGACTCTTGGTCTTGTTGCATCGAAAAGTCCATAGTCCCTTATTGATTGAAAGGAGTATGTCGGATTGTAAAGCACCCATTGTCCACTATATCACAACCAGCCTCATACAACAAAGTGGTCGACGTTAAAGTATGTGTTAGGGGTGAAGGATCTCATCTTCCGTTGATGTTGTTGTCAGGTCGAGTCGAAAGAACGTCAACGAACAAAGAACAGTCTGCTGGTGGTATGCCCACCTCCGCTGCCCCTCCATTGATGACCTTTCCTTGCATTCTGCCAACAAAGGGCCTCATACGGGTCGTCTGCCTCATCCCTCAGAGTCTGCTTCAACCTTCGTTTCAAGTTGGAAACGCAGATTCCTGATCGGATTTCCTGCTGAGCTACTACGGCAGGGCTCCGTTTGTCTTCAACTCATTGTCATTCCTATTCCTAAATGCCACAATGCATGCCCGATATTTGGCATGAATACTACCAAGAGAACACGAGAGATGCACAGAAACCTCGAAGCATGAACTATCCCCTTGTGACGAAAACAGAGGCAATAAAATGCCTCCCAGGCACATGCGGCAATATTGGGCAGAACATCTCGTCCGTCTGAGGACCATGCCCCCCCTTTACCTTGCTGTCGCGTAGCTTCCACTCTGTCCAGGATGTCCCCGTCGGGCTGGCACTCCTCCAGAATCCTACCGAGATACCTCACCAGCCTCACAGATATCCGACAAGCCACAAATTGGTGTAGTACGGTGCGCTCACACATGAGCCGCCACATCATCTCAGGGCGAATCGCAGCTTGATCATCACTCCAGACTTCTCTTTCGAATATTCCATCTTTTCGCCCCCTCAAACCAGCCGTTCAGATCGCCCCACTTGGTTAAATCCCCCCTCTTGGCCGTCCCTTTTGAACTTTCTTTTTCTTCTTTATCACATCAATCATCCTCCCTCCTCCCTCCTGTCGACCTCACTCGCAAATGACACCCCTGGGCCCTGAGCCCTTATGCTGTGAACTGGTGACGACCCCGCCTCGAGGTCGGTTGCATGCGGCGGATATTCCGGAGGTGCATCCCCCATCCTAGGCTTCTCTCGGTCATCCAACTTACCAATCATCGTATGATGTGCATCTTGTCCCTGGGGGCGAGAAACGTATATATACAGCTCCAAAACACGCCTTTCTTTTCTTTCCACATCAACGACTTCTCACGACTTCTTCAACGACCAACAACTCAACAACACCACAACTACACAATGGCTGTCTTCTCCACCATGGTACGCCGGGCCTCCTCTCTACTCTCTCCCCTCTTCCAGTCTTCTTATCGTCCCCGCCCTTCCCCACACTGACTCTCTTCGCAGCTCACCTCCGAAGCCAACGGCTGCTCCCACGGCTCCTCCTGCAACTGCGGCTCTAGCTCCGGCCGCGCCCCCTCCAACGCCGCCGCCGGCGACTGCAGCACCCACTCTGGGTCTTGTACCTGCGGCAGCAACGGTCGACTCGCCAACGAGTGCAACACCAACGGTCCTGGTGGTAAATGCTCCTCTTGCCAGAACACCGTGTAAGCTCTTCTCTTTTCGGTTTGCGCTCGAAACATGAAAGCAGTGCTGATGGATGAGCAGTTGTGCTTGCGGCACTGGGTGCGGCTGCTAAGCACCTCTCCTCTCCAATATTGTCATCATCATCGCCGCCGGCGATGGATGAGGATCGTGGAGCAAGAGTGTTTGATTCGTTCTTTCCCGTAAAGTAAGGCGTAGCTAGGTGTCTTGTTCGATAAGATATGCACGAGTTATCGAGGTGATGATCTCGGTGAATGTGGTTGCATCCTGTACAAAGAAAGGAATGCTATAGGTCAAGTCAGCTCGATCCTTGACTGGGAGCATACTGTGACGTACTTTACAATTACAGCGCTGGATCTTCCCAATTCAGGCGCACCTCTCACCATCCGATAGCTTGCCCTGCAATGTCCCAGAAAGACTTTGGTGTGCTCTGTAATACGCATTAGCCCCCAGTCATCGTTCGGTCAGGGACTCACAGTCAGGACAAACACCTCCTCTATTGCCACCCCAGCCCGGTCTTGGCCCTCAGCGCGAGCACCACCCTTCGGCGACACTTTCTCCAGTTTGATGCCGCCTATACAATGTCAGAGCGTGCCTTGGCGAGTGAGTGAGGAAGAGCAGCGCACCAGGCAATCGAGCAGGATCCTTGAGCCTGAGCATCATCTCGAACAACGGCGCTCGAAGTAACAACGTCTGACCCCCTCTCAGCACACCGTTCACCGCCAAACATGCTACTCTCATCTATCACTACTGGTCAGAATCCCCTCATACAAGCATCAAAAATAAGAGAGGGAAGGGAGACGTACGAGGAAGAGCAACGCGGTGTAACTGAGGACGGTGGGAAAGAGAAAGGCCGAGACGGTGAAGAGGAGTGTGCCTAGGAAGAGCTGGTCGATGTCGTATTCATATGAATCTGTCCGCAGTCGGAGAACATTCCATCTCTTACCTGTTATCGGACATCAGTCTGAACCCTTCCCTGGGTGTGATACGCCGAGTAGAAGGAGAGGAGAACGTACCGCGGAACAAATTCCAAAGCCCATACAACGAAGACGCCTGCCACCTGCACACCCACTGCATCACCTTCCAGCTCAGAGTTAGGTGAAGAGCGAGTAGCGACGTAAGATCAGACAGGAGGGCGAGGGATGTGGAGAGGCCAGTGAACGAGGAGAGGGCGAGGATTTGGGGAAGGGATGGGGCAAGGCGGGTTAGATAGGGCATCGTGAATTCTGTATTGATTCAGCCGGCGAGCGATGGAGGAGAACAGGGGAACGTACCAGACCAATGACGGATGACGCCTTGGAAGAACACGCAGAAGAATTGGCTTAGGGGAGTATTGAGCTTTAGACCGACTGGCCAGCTGTTTAGCCATTGAAGAGTTTGGATCGGAGTGTCCACCAGATGCCGCTTAAGATCACGTTAGTCCCCAGACTTTGAAGGCAGGGGGCAGTATACGTACTTTATAGGTGTTTTGCAGATGTAAAAGGACATTCGGACCATAGTGGAGGATGGCATGGCGAGCAAGGTAGCCCAGTATCAAGTCGTTCTGCTACAATCAGTGACGGTGCTTGAAGTTGCTGAACAGATGACATACCAAGACAAGCCAGATAGTACCCCAGAACCTGTCATTGCAGTCAGCCTTGAGACTTGTTAGGATGGATGGAAGGGAAAAAACGAACAAGTTATACGTCTCCGCCCGCTCTTTCACGTCTCCAACCTGACGGGCCCTCAGATACCGATCTGGTACTCGCACAAGCTGGTCCCAGCGTACACAAATCTGACCCACTGACACATGCTGTCAGTATCTGTACCATGAGGAGGTCCAATAAGAAAAGACAAAGACACCGGACTTACATAAAGCTGACAGGCTGCGTAGTGGAGGCAGTCCAAGGAATGAGGAAGATAGAAGGCTGGCGGTGGTATGAGCGTCAGAAGTACCGGGTCTGTCGAGCTGTGTCTTCCTTAGCAGCACAGGCTCTTTCGACGTCCCTGGCTGTGAGATCAAATGTTGTTGGGCCTTATACGATACGTTGATCTGCAAGATGGATCAGTATTCAGTCCCCACCTTTTTTGTGTTTTTCCGACTTACCTTTGTGACGACGTGCTTCCAGTCCACGTCCTTGATGATATCACCAGAGTGGGTATCGTCTATGGAACCATGGGTCACTGTCGCGGAGGACCCGGGGTTGAAGTAACGCAAAGAGGAAATGTTGGGCACGTCATACAGTATGAGAGACACAGACTGTCTTCAGGAGGATCAGCCCGCGCGTCCTGCCTTTGAACACACAGGGGGACTTACGAAGATGATATAGGCTTCTTGTCACCATCAAGATAAAGCGTAAGTCTCCCTTGGACGTCGCTAACTTTGTTCGATCTTGATTCTGCTGTCCCGAGCACTCCCAAGTCATGCAACCCGGGCCAGGCCTTATCGTCGTTATTTGGTTCTTGTCGTTCCTACAACTTTTTATCAGTCTAAAGCCTCACATGAATTTTGAGGCACGCTCACCCAGCTGTGTACAGCCGCTACAACACACACGTCGTCTCCTATACGCCATCCGACCGACTCGCCTTGCCCTCTGGTTAAACCAGAGGTCGGCCAGAAGACTTTGAGGGCGCTGTCTGGACTTCCTGATGCCATGCCGAAATCAATAGTGGCAGAGGAGGAAGCTCTGAAAATCTCAGTCTCTTGAAGGGCTGTTGTGAGTATTTGGTCCAGGCAGAAGAGTGCTGGAAGAATGCCTGAAAGACAACTGAAAGATGTGGACGAGGCAAGCACGAGGGTGAGCTCGGAGCCCCGCGGCGCTTCTGCCCAAGTAATTAAGGAATATCTACCCCAATTTACAAGCGCCTGCCGAGCTGTTGTCCGACGGAGCCGACCACTGAAATATCGAGATAAGATAATCTATTGACATTGTTGCCTTCGCCGACCCACAACTCGCTCACGATGCCGCCCTTCGCATCCCCTCTCGTCCAATCCCAGCTTTCCACCCTCCTCCTCCTCACCGCCATGTACCCCCTCTCCCCCGAACTCACCCTCGCCCCCTCCACATCAGCCTTTGCCCAGCAGGCCGAAGAAGGCGGAGAAGGAGAAGCACCAGATGCGTTGGAAGTTGAGCTGGACTTGAAGGTGGACGATAGTAAAGGGGAAGAAGGAGAGAGGGTGGGGATCTCTGTGCGGTTACCGACTATGCCGCTTTCAGAAGGAGACGAAGAAGAAGAAGCGAGGGTGGAAATTCACCCGAAACAACCAACCTGGCTGCCAAATTCGACATATACTTCCCTCCTCGATTCATTACCACCACTTTTACCATTATCAGAAGGCGGAGACCCGAACGAACATATCCTTACCACAATCGACCTCATCCTCACTACCCTCTGCCCGCACGCTCCGTCAAATCTCCCAGACTCACCGCCCCCGGAGAAAGAAAAGAAGGGCAAAACACTACCGCCGAAGGATGATGGTCCACAAGAGAGGGTGTGGTTTTGGTTCCCGATGCTGCATACGCGGGAGAAGAGAAGAGACTTGGTTAGCTACGCGAATGAATGGGGACTCACAGGGTTTGTCCTTGCAGGTGAATACTTTCCATTTCAAAATCAATGGCAGATATTTGGCTGACTATATACTGCTCACAGGGAAACCCGCGTTGTTATGTGTCGAAGGAACGGGGATAACAGTTGAAAAGTACATGTCGCGCATTAAATCCGAATCCTGGGGCGACATTCCCTCATTCCAGAAAAAAGTCAGTCCTCCCCTCTCCCCTCTCTCTTTTCCTATCTCCTTCATACCTTCCTCATACCTTCCCATTTCATTAATTAACCACAATCCCAGGTCTCAGAACGTTTCCGGAAAGAACTCGGCCCATCCCTATCCAACCGCGCCTTCTCAACCATGACAGACATCACATCCACCGTCTCGAAATACGGCCGGTTTGGGGATCGAGGCGAGATGGGGCAAGTGAAGCGGATGATGGAGGATTGGGGAGTAGGAGAGGACTTTAGACTGGCTGTTATGAAGAGGGATGATTAGGGGCTTTGAGCGAGAGGGTCAAAAGAGACCTGGGAATGCAGGGTGACGAGGGGCTCGAGCCATGTCAAGCTCTGCTTGTTGCAAATTGGGGATCGCAATGATATATCCATTCTGGCAATATACTTCATGATATGCCCGCAAGCAAAGCACAATCTGATCTTGAAACTTTCTCGGAACCAAACAAGCTGGGTCGACCAATGCCAGTAGATGGCCGTCTTCCCGCGCAACTCTTCCTGCATCTCTTCGCATTCCGCATCTCTCCCTTGATACGACATATCTTGTTGACTTGATTATGCCGCAGACTCGCCAGGCCAGGAAATCTCTGAATCTGACCGACATCCTTATTTCAAAGGTCTTCCAGCTGATCCTTGATCACGTCCTGGTCCTCGCCAAATCCGACACCCTTGTGTAAGGGATTGGTACAGACTGGCTAGTAGGAGGAGATGTGGTGACGTGTACTATGGAACGCAGGGTTCGATGACCTTTCCCCCATCGATGTATTCTCGTATAACCCTCTTACCTATATCCATCCTCTCACCCTTCCAGCCTATTCAAGGTCGACATCTGGCGCCCTTAGTCAGATCCTCCACGTAACCACCCCTAGGTTACGCCACCTATCCACCTTCACCCTTACAGAAGAATACATCGCTTTTCGACCTTCGATAGGCGAAACCCCACCCCTCCGCCCATCCTTTTGCTACGACCTTCCCAATTTCTATCCCATCCGCCCGCCCATTCTCTCCCTACATCCGAAAGACTTTCTGACAACTCGTCCTGACAACCCCCGTTCGCTCCATGAAACGAAAGGATGATGGCGCACAATTCTCCTGAAGGCCGTGGCCCGTGGCCCGACAATCCCGCCCACTTCCACATCAACCCTGTTCAATCCATCAGGGATACGGACAATCTTCGCGCTTCGCTGCGGTCAACTGTTTCTGTATCTACTCTTTCGTCGCATATTTTGACTGCGCATTGCAGCTGTACCTCGCAAATACTCTGTGCGCCATCATCTTGAGCTCGAAACTCTCTTCAGCACGCCAAGGGCACTCTCCAGGCGTGACAATCTCCCCTGGTCCCTCAATGTGCCTGAGCATCTTCCGTACAGTGTTTCAGCGCTCCCGAATGGCAACGTTGACTTGGGACTCGTCTTGATGGATATATTAAGAGGTCACAATGAGGCTTTTTATATCTCCAAGCAACTTCAGGTTTCTTCTCTTCCAACCACTCACACTCTTTAACAGGCTTGACGCCTTTCACATTCTTTCCTTACCTAGCTTTCTATTCGTTTATCATCCAACATGCCTTCTTTCCTCGCGTAAGCTACTACCCCTGGTACATCACATTGCTCGTATGCTGATACCCTACGCCCAGAAACAAAGTCGCTCTCGCCACTCTTGCCGGGCTCGCTGCACTCCCTTCGGCTTTGGCCCATGGGCACGTAACTTCTTGGCAGATCAGTGATACTACTTGTACGTCTGACACTTAAATTGTCTTTCTTACTGACACCCATCTTAGACGCTGGTTTCAACCCCTCCTACGCGGCAGAGCTGGGCTCTACCCCCGAGCGAGCCGTAAGCTCACCCCCTTACATGAACGATATCCCCGGCTGAGTATCATATCAGACGACCAACTCTGACCAAGGCTATGCTGACTACACCACGGATGTGATCGCCACGGGTGGTACGGCTACGTCGAGTGACCTTGTCGCGAATGCTACGGCAGGAGATACTGTCATTGTCACATGGAACACATGGCCCTCGAGCCACAAGGGGTGAGCAAATCGGCCCCAGGAGCTTCAGCTGAAACCTTTCCCAGGTCTGTCACCCAGTGGATGGCCCATTGTCCCGATGATCTCTGCGCTGGCACAGCTGGCGCCGACATGGATTGGTTCAAAATCTCCCAGAGCAGCTACGACGAGTCCTCGGACTCTTGGCCCACTGATTACATTGCTGAGAACTTGATTTGGACCTTCACTCTCCCAACCAACTTGGCTGCCGGGTGAGCATGGTATGAACGCGCAATGGATAGAGGCTGACGACGAGGGGCAGGCAGTACCTCCTCCGGCATGAGCTGTTGGCAATGCACACCACTGGTGCTGTAAGCCATTTCCTTGTTTCCTTACGAATGAAGCCAACTCACTTTGCCATAGCCTCAATTCTATCCTGTTGCCATCGAGATGCAGCTCGAAACGTCCGGGTCCACCACCCCTTCTCCCACTGGCACCTTCCCCGATATGTACGACTCCGATGACAACATGGCTCTGACTCAGAACATCTACGGTGGCTCCGCCCTCAACGCAGAGTTTGTGGTGCCCGGTGTCGCTGTCTAGTACGTCATTTATTCAGAAGAATGTCTGTGAACGACGCACTGATACAGCGGTAGTGATGGCAGCGACTCGACGGTATCAAACTGGGATTCCACTGGCCTCGAGAACAACTCTACCAGCTCCTCTTCCACCACCGCTACCTCTCCCGTTTCTGCCACCACCTCCTCTGCCGAGGCCTCTGCCGCTACCTCGTCCGCTGAGATCCTTGTCGCGACTTCCGCTGCCGAGTCTTCCATCCAGTCCTCCGCTGTCGAGACCTCTGCTGTCGAGACCTCTGCTGTCGAGACCTCTGCTGTCGAGACCTCTGCTGTGGAAACCTCTGCTGCCGAGACCTCTGCAATTGAGATCTCTGCCGTCGAGACCAGCGCTGCCGCAACTACTACCAATGCAGTTAGCGAGACTGCCACTTCCACCTCGTGAGTATACCTGACGTTGCATATGAAGCGTTGACGATCTCTCAGCGCTTCGGCCTCTGCCATGGCTAGCGGAGCGAGGCGGTGCAAGGCCAAAAGGCGGCTGTGAACAGGCAACAGCCCGAAAGTATTTCCCACAACCTTGAACAGAGATGGGTAGAGCTGACGCCTACATTCTCAGTTCAATTCAAAGTGAGATCGAGCTGCACACTGAACGTTCTCTTTGCCAGCTGCCTGTCGGGCTCTACGCTACATGCATAAGGATCTTGAATGCTGCACATGGATTCGGGCCGCAGTTCTATGTACGGGATCGTGCTGGATTTGGAGAGGGAAAGGCAGAAAGATAGTCCAGTCTCGCAGTCTGCCGCAGAACCAAACAAGCAAGTCCAGTCAACCACCGTCAACCTACGTAGGCACATCTAGAATTATTCCCGCATGTCTTTCCAAATCTCTTTCTCGTCTTTCCATCTCTGTCTGTACTCACCCACTACCCACCATGCCACGCACTCGACAGCCTGCAGTCGCTCCACATGCTGACCAGGGCCTCAATCTCGCCACCATCTTCCCCCCAGAGATCTGCCAGCTGATCCTCGATCACCTCCTCGTCCTGGCCCAGTCCGACACCTTTCTCGCGTTCCATCTCATGTACACCTGTACCGACATGCTCAACAGTGTTTCGCCCTACCTCTACAAGCGCGTCACCCTCCACGAGGGAAATACCGAAAAGTTCTTTTACGGGCTGGCGGATGGAAAGATGAAGAAGGGCGAAGTGAAAGGATGGCAGAACGACGGTCGTCGGTTAGAGAAGAAGAGTGCAGTGGCGAGGCGCTTGGTCTGGCTGAGCATGGTGCGAAGGGTGGAAATTATGGACGCTGAAGCGTTCGTAAAGTGCATCACCGCTCTCAAGGCTCTTCTCAAAAGACCCCTCGGGACCCGGGAAGAGCCTCCCCACCTCTTCTTTTGGCGACCCCACGAAAGCAACGCACACGAAAAGCCAGTTCTGCGACTCTCTCCACGAGTGGCCCCACCCGGAACGATTTTCACGGGCAGTAGCCGCTACAAGCACATACGAAACTTCAAACAACTTGCTCGATCTTTCACCGTCGAATTGGACTGTGAAGACTATGAGGACTTTGAGGACCAGCTGGCTGTAACGGCGAGGAGCTATGACCAGCCATACCATAGCGCATCGCTCTACCGTTCAGTGTTCTGTGGGGCCAAGGATATGATCGTCACCAACGTGACTATACGCAATCTTCATCATTTCCAGCTTATCCGTTGTCAACGTCGTCTGAACAGGATGTTGGTGATTCTGAAGAGTGAAGGTGATGACCATCGACAGCTGGTAACAAAATTGGCAGAGTCAGTCTATCACCTCCCATGACGGGATTCGTTGATCATTATGTTTGTAGCGATATTGCGGCCGAAACGATCCTCGAAGAGGCCCAGGTTACTATTCAAGGCTATCGATTCAAGCCAGCTGAGACAGCTTTTGAGATTGAGAGTCTCATGAACGAGACGTTCGCGGCAGGCGTTGCAGAGTGGAACTCGAAATACAGCCCAGGGCGAGAGGTGAACTTTGAGGTGCTTTGAACAGGCGACAGCCCATATGTACGTCCCGGAGGATCCATCAGTAGAGCTGGGTAGAAGTGACACGCATCATCATTTCAGATTCAGAACAAGCGACTCTACATGAGCGTTACCCTTTGCCTTACCACCCTTCAGTCTCTTCATCTCACCAGATGAATGCGCATGCTATGCATCAAAACATGAGCTGGTATATTCTCTCGACCCTGGGTATAAGCACTGGAAAACCAAAAAAGATATATCGAGAAAGACGCCTCTATCCATCATCCTACCGCCAATGTCCTTGCTCCATCCATGCCAAACCTCCCTCTCCAAATGCTGACCTTCAAAATGATACTCTCGCCCCTATTCCCCCACCATCGATAACCCATCTAGAACCTCCTCTGTCCCTGGCCCTGCATGGGCGCATACCCCTGAGGCGCCCTCTGCTGCTGCTGCTGCTGCATCCCCATGCCACCCATCTGCTGCTGCCCCATATGCGGCCTCATGACCGGACCCCGGCTCTGCTGAGGCGGCGGCGCCTGCCTATACGTCTGCGCCAAGTTCATCGCGGGGTGCTGGCCAGGCAACGGCGCTGATGAGGCGATACCGGCGCCTGGGGCGGAACGCGGGCCGGAAGAAGGGGGTACGCGTTGGAGGGAGGCGAGGTTGGGGCGGCCGGTGGTGGAGGCGGGGGAGGAGGAGGCGGGGGCGGTGGATGCTGGGGAGTGGGAGGGGGCGCTGTTGGGGTTGGCGCGCTTTTCGGCGGCCCGGAGGATCTCGTCGCTGTGTCTTTGTGAGCGTGGAAGTTGAAGAAGGAGGCGTGACGAACTCGAGCAAGTTCAAACAAGCACAGCAGACGACCCATTCGACGCAATCTTCGTTTCCAACACCCAAAGTCTGCCAGACTTGCTTCTCATCCTCGCTCTTGCCAGTGATGGAGAGCCTGGTACCACCACCCTTCTCGGGAGGGTTCTTTGAGATCTTGCCAAACTGCACCATCATCAGTGTCCACCCTTTGACTCGCGAGACAATACACACCTCAATCCGCTTGGGTGGAATCTGATGCCCAGCGTACTTGAAGTAAAACATGGTCCAAAACTCGGCATGCGGGTTCGGCTTGCTGATCTGGTACAGCGGTGTGTCGTCTTGGTTGACAATCTTGTAAATGGGGCTCATCACACCGGTATTCTCTATCGTCCACCTCAGATCCCTCGAAGCCTCACAGCGGACAGAGTTGGGCGGCTGCTTGTTGGACATGGTAGGGACGCTGGCGGCGGAGGCCGGCTGGCCCGGGCGGGGAGGGGGGAAGAGCTTGGCGACACAAAGATCGCCTTGCGGGGAAGGGGTGAGGAGGTAGTTGACGCGGTTCTATACGGGGTGTCAGATAGCGTCCACACCGTACACGCGGTCGTGTGAGAGGAAGGGAACGCACCTCTTCAGTATGAAGGTAGGTGTAGAGGACATGGTTTGGCTGGCCGTGGGGGGTGACGATCAGTGTCGGGAGGTGGTTGGGCATGGGGGCATGGTGCGGGGAGGTGAAGCTATCGCCGTTTCCTCATCAGCGACGTGTCGTCGGGAAGCCTTGTCGAGGCAGGGGGGCGCTTACACAGTGTATATGGCTGCGTTTTCCATGGCGGGCGAGTATGGTATGCGTAGAGGAAACAGAAAGAGACAAGATGAAAGTGTGGAAGAGAGATGATAACAAACGGGATTAGGCCGTCTGCGCACACCACCACCCGTTCGCACTCACCGGACATGTTGGCTCGTCGCTCGCAGCTCTCTTTCGGAGTATCTTTCGGTGTCTGATCTCTAATAGTCGCCTAGCGCAGGTAGATGGGTGGCGGGTCCGTCGTCAAGGGCTCTTTGAATGCCCCGGGTCGTGCGTGCTGATTCAACCTCCTTTATTTATTGGCAGTCCCTTGGCAGTGTATCGTCGCGCCTCGCTCGCCAGTGCGCGTATGCAAGAATATAGGAGTATATGGAGGGAGGGGAAGAAAGAAGAATGTGGTTAATTGTTGTTGTTGTTCTCCAGGAAAACGAAAGCCGCACAAGCGAGGCGAAAACCCTGTTCCTCGGTTGTCCCTGTATATCCACAGCCGGGTGTTCTTTTTCGGGCGAGCGGCGTATTGAGCGTTGGATGGTTGTTGTATTATGGGCGGAGGGGCAGGGGTGCGAGTGGGAGGGTGAATGATGAGCTGGATGTAGAGGACGTGTTGTTAGCACCCTTTAGGGCGGACTGGGCAGGGCAAGGTTGCCGTAATCGGCAATAAGAGCGCGGAATAATCTCGAGCTATTGTGCCAGACGTTGGAAGGGTCTCTGGCGACATGTCCATCTTGCATGCTCTTGCCGTTGTGAGCAGAATGAGTGGTATATGCACAGGATGTGCTGTCTTCTTTGCGGGAGATGGCGGGATGCGGCGTCAGAGGTTCACAAAGTCGACATAGGCACCCTGTGCCTCTTCTATCATCTCCAACACTGTGCTCCTCGACTGCTTGACATCTTCAGTAACTTCCTCAGTCTGTCCGAAAACGCTGGGATCCTCTCCAAAGGCATGCATTGTGAGCCGTTCAGGAGCTCGGACGATACTGACTCTTAAAATGGACACTGATGAGCTCACGCAAAGGTCTGCACCAACCTCCTACTTTCATAACAGAGATCACCAACCTGTATGACACTTTGCAATCTTCTTACGCCCATCTGCCTGATTGATGATCGACCTATGATCTATGAGTAGTCTGGATGGATCTCTACCGCGGATGATTAGCTGAGATTAAAGTTGCGTTCCTCTTCGTGAGAACCAAATACAAAGCTGGTGTCAGCGCGTCGCGTCGATCTGGGGGCGGGATCTGGAGGTTTCCATGCTCTTGCAGACAGCACGTCGGTCTTGAACGGCAAGGATGGGGGTAATTCTGGAAATACCTTTTGGATGCTGCGCACGTCATGAAGACACCTGGTTGACAATACCTTGAGACTCGGCGATTTTGAACCATACCTGCAGCCTGCCACAGCAGCGGCAGTGGACGGCGGGCCTGCTGTTCGGCACAGCCTTCCTTTTTTCTCTCAAACAAACATATCAACAGAGCTGTGGTTCGTCGAAGCTGGCGGATTAGACGAGCAGGAATTCAATGTAGAGCATGTCAACCTCCCTACTGCCATGCTGATCATCAATCAACGTGCCGTTGTGGCGCCGAAACAGCATACATGCTCCTACCACGGGCCCACTGCTTGTCCATGCATACAGCTGCTAGCTGCTGATACTCCTCACAGCCCTCTCCTCCCCCTTGTACCCAGATCTCTGTCACCTTCTAGGCTTCTACCACGCAGTCCCACACTCGGTGGCCGAATGTCAGCGATCTCAGGGCCAAAACGTAATGTTCCCGTCAGGCACCCACCTCGGCCTCACCGTCTTTTGACGCATGCTTTTTCGTACAATCCAGAGCAAAACACAGCAGTATTTCTGATTCCCAGCTTGACGATATCCATACCACAGGGGACAGCCCCGACAGACCGCCATGACCCCCCTCATCCTCCTCCCCCTCCTCCCCCTCGCCGCCCTCGCACAGCTCACACCCTCACCGACATTCTCCCCTCCTACAGCCTCGGCGGGCCTCGTAGCCTCTACTGATACCGTCAACACTCAATGGTCGAATATCATCGGCAACTCGCTCTACTTTTATGATGCCCAACGGTCAGGCAATCTGAGCTCGGGGACGTACGAGAATAGAGTAGAATGGAGAAACGATAGTTGTGAGGATGACGGGAGTGACTATGGGCTGGATCTCAGTGGTGGATGGTATGACGCTGGAGATTACATCAAGGCGACGTTCCCTATGGTAAGCCTTTCTGCATATGACGAGGCCATGGCTGACAAATGTAGACATTCACGTTGTTTGGGATATCATGGGGAGCCTTGACACATGGCGAAGGCTACGGTTTGGCGAACCAAACGGCGTATCTCGACGGCACCCTTCGATGGGGCTTCGACTGGCTCATTAAGGTGCGCATGGTATCAAGGCCTTGACAAGTGTCTCATGCGATACATAGGCACACCCAACAGACGACCAGCTTTTCGTCCAAGTCGCCTCTGAAGAGGTCGACAACAACTACTGGGGCGGCGATCAAGATATCCCTACTCCCCGACCTTCCTATCCCATCAACGCGTCCTACCCTGGTACCGATGCCTGGGCTGCCGCTTCCAGAGCGTTCGCCATGGGCTCCTTGCTCTACACCCCGGGCTTGACCTACAACGTCACATCGTCCACCGGCCCACCCACGAGCCCCTCCTTGGCCGACGCGTCGTACGCCACGAGGCTGCTGGATCACGCCAAGACATTATACGACGTCGCCAACTCGACCACGCCCCGCCAGACGTATTACACGACTCTCGGCGAGCCGCTGCAGGCATACGCATCGTCGAGCTGGAAAGACGATCTCACGCTTGCAGCGCTGACTCTGGCTTTGGCCACGAATGACTCGAGCTATTATCTCGATGCGCACAATTATTACTCCGAGTACAAGTTGACAACGCGGCAGGATGTGTGGAACTGGGATACCCAGACGCCGGCTATCTATGTGCTTTTCGCAGAGATTGCGAGTGCCAGGCCTGATTTAGCGGCGGGTGCTGGGCTGGACGCCAATTTGACCGGGTGGCAGACCGAAGTAGAGGGTTATTTCGACAAGATTGTCAATGACAATCTTGATGATGGCTATACCACCGATGGTGAGTGTATCGAGAGGTGCATATGGGATCATGCTGACTGGATCAGGCGGCCTGTTGTATTTTGAAGGCGACTCGGATGAAGCGAGCTTGAACCCTGCCATGGCCATCGCCACGCTCATGTTCAAATACGCTCCCATCGCATCCACATCCGACAAGACCGACTCATACAATGTACGCCCCTCTTCATCTCCCCTTCATGCTCTGCTCACACACGTCTACAGGACTTTGCCTCATCCCAGTTATCCTACCTCCTCGGAGCCAACCCAATGAACGTCCCCTACATCGTCGGCCTCCACCCCAACTCCCCTTCCAACCCCCACTCCGGTCTCGCCTCTGGCGGCACGGATATCAACAATATCCGTACCAGCCCCGAGACCGAGTTACGCGTCTTGTACGGTGCGGTGGTCGGCGGGCCGCTGAGCAGCGACAAGTTTTGGGATTGGAGAGATGATTGGGTGCAGACGGAGGTGGCGTTGGACTATAATGCGATGATCTCCATCTTGGCTTCCATGCAGGTAAGCTATCTCTTTTGCAATAATATCTGTGTGCTGATGAAGGTATAGCTCATCAATGGTACCTCCGACCCACCCTACGTCTCCATCCAAGCCAACACATACACCATCCCCGATGGCGACCCATGCGACGAAGCTCTTCCCTGTAGCGGCAGCGGAGGTCTGTCAAAAGGAGCCAAGATTGGGATTGCGGTTGGTGTGGTTTTGGGGGTGTTGTTGTTGGCTGGGTTGGGCTTTTGGATTTGGAGAAAGTACAGGAGAAGACGGTCGTGGTAGGAACACCTTGGGGCGGCGCACGTCATTTGTTGGTGGAGTGCAGAGAAGCTTTTACGGGTTCGTTCAATATGGACATATGATGGTTTTATAAATTTTGGCATGTCATCTCATTGTGTGTTGTGTTTCAATTGACTGGAATCAGACTCTGACATCTGACAATGTCCGAGTACATACGAGCAAATGATCAATTCACTGATCTACATACGGCCGAAACGTCAGCCTGTTGATTGATCAACTTTCGGCCATCATGCGACATCATGATGGGCAAGTGTCAGATCACGTTTGACCGGCGTTCATCACCTCTAGTTTTGGTTGTGCGCGGCTGATCATCATCGTTTCGCGGATCGATTACATAGGCATACGCGGCATACCACGCTGCCATCATGCACTTTTGGCAGCAGCTATCATGTTGAGGCAATTATCAAGTACACCCTGACATGTGCTATCAGTGGATGAGATCTATCACATGGCCAGTCCTCCTCGCATACTCGCCGTCGGTCTCTGATCTCCTACACCATGCCCACCTAACACGCCATTACCGGTCTACCGCCTACGCGAACGACTCGACGACATATGTGAATCATATCCCCTTTGTCAGATCCTCCTTTCACAACTGCAACACAACCTGGCGTTCCATGAATGGACCGACCACCAACTTTGCTGATCTGCGAAGCCCCCCGAGAAGATCGACAGTGGCTGAGTTTTTAGCGTACATGTTTGACGTGGACATTGGAGTGGGCTGAAGGGGCATGTGCTCATGAGTATAAGTACTGTGGTTTGTTGTTGATTCTGTCCTTCTTTGGAGTCCCAGTTGTGATCGATGAGAAGTCAGTGAGACACGAATAATCAGTATGTCAAGCCCTAGTAAACCTCAAGAAAACGTAAAAGAAAGCGGGCAACCCGCGCAGTAAGTCTCTCTCATACCCCTTACAACGATCTACCTACTGACACATCTGTATCGCAGGGACAAGGCGTTCACCCCGCCACCAGCATACGTAAACACCCCACCCCGCCCGGCGACTGAGATGGAGCGAAACAGACCTGGCTTTGTCGTCATCTCCAGAGATGAGGATAGAGGACGGGAAGTGGGTGGGAGCAGTAGCGGGGCTAGTAGCGATACTGCTGTCAATATGTAAGCGAGCTGCTTGAGACTCAGTCCGTTGAAGCTGATGGAACGCCTCAAGGTCCAACGAGAACCAAGGGTTACCCAAAGACCAAAGCCAACAAGGCCCGACCAAGTACGAACAATGGTACCCCGGCGATGCGTCCCATAACGGTCGTCCGGCCTGTTGGAACAGAGTCTTTTGCTGTGGTTATGGGCTGGGATGTTTGCTTTGCCCTTGTGGAAGCTGGAGCTGTAAGCAGGAAAGAAGTTGAAATTGTTGAATCGAATTGGAAGCTGTTTTATACATGTCAGGTTTCTTACAGTAATGCAATGTTCTATCCTCTTATGCTGCTTCATGTCTGGGAGCTTGTATTCCCCAGCCTTCCACTTTGTCTTCGCCCTTCCACAAGACATGGCCTTTTCTTCCATCGAACACGTTGTCCGCTCCCTCAAGCTGGTGGAATGGAGCTTTTCTCTTTTTGGCTGCTTTCCGTCTCCTCGCAGCTCTGATCGGGCCATCCAGTGGATCAACGAAGGAGTCCTCTACAGTGTGACCGGGTGCTGAAGGGTCCGCTGGGACCGAGGACGACAAGCGAGAGGCGGAGGAGAGGGACGTAGGAGGAGCTGGGATGGAGAGACGGGTAGAGCAGGTGAGGCAAGTCTGGTGCGCGATGGAGAAGGTATTCTTGTTGGCTGTATAGAAGTCAGCAAAGGTCACGGCTTGATGAGACAGCTCGAGATTTACGTCTATTTCGATCCCGGCACGTTAGACCCGGTACCAGTACGGCAGAACAGCCTTTACATATGGCTCTCTTGAACGATGGATCCCTGCGTACAGAGTCAGCCTCGATCATCACAATAGCAGTAAGAGACTTGCAATTTCAGCTGGTTATGTACAACCATGGTATTGCTTTCCCTCATTCCCATCCTCGCGAGCTTGCGGAAGCCGTCTTCGCTGCTGGAAGGATTTTCGACAGCTCGCCGCTTGCCCTTCCTGTCTTTCACGACATTCACCTCTCTTCCGCCATATTGTTGACAGCTCCCAGAGGACTCTCCTAGGGACTGAAGGAAGACCGAAGCTTGCAGGGAATAGTTGAGTCGGTGGAACAGGTCTTTTGCGGGCACGCTCGGTGGTTGTCCGGTGTTGATGGACCCTTTTTCCTTCTTCGGCTGCTGCTGTTTTTGCTGTGGCTTCTTTGCCTTTTGGGGTTGGGGTGCGTCTCCTTTAGACATGGCAGTCTTCTGTTTGACGTTCAGAAGTACCTCCAAGACCAATACCAGGCTGAGAAAAGATCAAAACAATGCGAGGTGGAGGCCAGGCACGACCGCCCTAGCTGAGATGTTCGTCAACTGTTGACAACTGATTCTTCTTTGATTTCGCGAAATATTCTCTGTCCATTCAATCATTACAAACGATTCTAAGGAGAGACCCGGCTGGAGGTCTGCTTCAAACGTCTCACGACATGGCCCTAGGAGGTGAGTGACTTATACCTCGTTCCCGGTCACATCTCTCATCTCCCGCCCCATCTCTGCGCCTGAAGCTGACCACACTCTTTCAGCGGGAGGCTCGCATAACGATGGGATAGGTTTGAGCACAGATGAGGATGATTTTGAAGTCGTGCCGGAGAAGGGTGAGTCGGCTTGTTCTACAGGTTACCGTGAACGGTGACTGACGGGTACTCAGTATTCAAAGCGAAAGCGGGCGCGAAGAAGGCGAGAAACAGTGTAGCCGGGAGCAGCCGTGGGAAGGGTAAGCTATGCTCTCTATAGTTCTAGACAGCTCGTAAAGGTCAAGCTAAACCTTGTCTAGCAATAGTGATTGATCTCACCCGCGACTCGCTTTCGCCTTCGCCCGACCCCCTGGATACCATCGTCTCCGCTCGTCGCGATCCTGAACGTCGGAAGTCTATACAAACTAAAATTGAGCGTCAGAGATCTTGGCAGAGATCAAACGAGAGCACAGTCTCAGACCGCGACTACAACGAGCTCAGAGGTGACGATATTGACCCTCCAAGAGCATCACCCGTGAAGAGTGCTCCGAAGGTGGAAGGAAAAAAGAGCAAGGGGAAAGAAAAGGAAGTCCTGGAGTCTCCCCGGGAAACTGTGGGAGGCTCGCCGTCGAAGAAGGGGTTGAAGAAGGCGGCAGACGGCGGCCCCGCCCAGACTCGGTTGGTCTTGGGAGAGGGCAGTTCGAGCACCGGCGGGCCTTCAGGCAGACTTGGCCTGTCAGTATCGCCGAAGAATAAACCCTCGCGCTCAGTCTCGCCCAAGAAGAGGCCCTCGCTGCCTGCCCAGACTTCGTCGGAAACCTCAGCCAAATCACAAAGCTCAACTACTGCTGGTCCTGGCAATGGTCTCAAGAAGACCAGCTTACCAGCCAAAATGTCGAGTCCAGACAAGACGAAGGAGAGAGAAAAGGGGTCAGAGAATGGGAAAAAGAAGAAGGCGGTGCCAAATGGCTCATGGGGATCACCGGTGCCACTGTTATCAACTCGCCCCTCTCATAAAGACGCGGCTAGCATGTCCACTGTCGGCGCACCCTCGAGCTCCAAGTCTCCTTCAAAAGATGCCACCATCACAGCCAGCAAAAACCCCACTCCTCCTACTCCCCCTGTATCTGCCGCACCCGTGGCACCTGTCCCCTTTCGCAGACCGAGATGGGCAACAGCACCTGCCAACGAATCTCCTTCATCTTTCAAATTGCATGAACCTGTACCCGATCCAACACCAAAGATAAAGATCCGTATACCCATAGCCAACCCTGTGGAGACGTCGAAAGATGCGCCAGGGCTGAGTAGGAAATCGGGAAAGCTGGAAAAGTCGATTGTGGACAGGTTGGCATCGAAGGCTGGTGAGAGTGTCGTTCAGAAGGAGGCGCCGCAACGGGTCGGCAAGGTGGATCATGCGGACGAGGATGCGAGGATGGACGATGCTAGTCCTCTGAGAAATGGACCTTCGCCTAGTACGAGCTCCAAGCCACTCTCTTCGGGTGGTGGAGCATCCGAGTCTGTCAATCCTGGAGCTGCATCCGTCGCTTCGGCTAATATTACCACGCCCATGGCTATAGGACCAGCTGTTCCCAATTCTGCCAGTGGTCCTGCCGGACCGAGTCGACCTCTTACCAATTTCTCATCTACACCCGTCAATTCCACGTCCTCGCCCAATGGTACACCCAGTAGCACAATCAGCAAAGACAAACCCAAGAAGAAGAAGAGGCCGCCCCCTGCAGCCGGGACTTGGAAGAATCCCTCAGAATTTGGCAGTAGCAGCAGTTTGAAGAATGGGAAGGAAAGTGGAGATGGGTCTAGCAGAATGTCGAAATCCATCTCGAGTGAGAAGAAAGACGATGGTAGAGCGAAAGAATCCTTTCCCCGCCCCCTTCCTCAAACCGTACCGTCTACGTCCTCCATTCCCAAAATACCATCACCAGAACCTCCCAAGGGACTGCATCCTGCAGGGTCATGGCTGAATCCCAAACCTTTTGGCTCAAACTCTTCTTCAGCGGCTGGGCCTCCCACGTCTACCAAAGCGGCACAAGCACCGCTGACTGCGGAGGAGAAGGAGCGTAAGCGTTTGATGCGCGCTGAGAAATTACGGAAGATGGCAGAGATAAAGGCGCAGGACACAGCGGCAGCTCAGGCGGAGCTGGAGCGACATCGACGTTCAGCGGGGTCGCATGTGGGTTCTATTGGACGTGCGGTTAATGCTTCGGATGGAGTCCTGTCGGCGTCTGCTCCTTCGCCCAATAGTCCGCCACATCTTCCAACTCCCACCTCCCCCCAGCCCATCGCTGTGCAGCCTGTCGGCCCTCAAAAACACAAACGGACTCCTTCTCCAGATCATCCGCTGAAGCCGGAAGATAGACAACGCAAGAAAAGTCGACCTGCGGTGGATATGGAGGAAATGAGAAAAGTCGCGGGGCTTCCTGTGGCTCCTGCTAGTGCTCCTCCCGCTGTCCAGTCTGCTCCCGCATCAATAATCCCTGCCGCAGAGCAAACAGAGTTACTTGGTGCTGCTGAGCGCGTCAAACTCCGCAAACAGCAATCTTCTATTAAAGCTAGCTCGAGATCCAACCCGACCAGCGCCTCAAAATCGACGAGTGGCACCCCGGGGCCGAGTCGACGAGGCAGCGGTGCTCTACCCAAGTCTTTCACCGAAGGAAGGGCCAACGAAGCTATTATGGGTGAAATGTCCGATGACTCTAACGATGAATCACCATCCGACAATTTACCTCTTTCGACGGGTACCGGCGCGGGCTCCAAACGAAAACGACAGCCCCAGTCGAACATCGGCGTGGGCGGAAGTCAACGCCTGGAGAAAAACATGGAGGAGGCACGGGTGCTCTTGGATGACGTGAATCTATTCAGGACGCAGAGCCCGACAAGCAAGCGTGTGAAAGAAGCACTCTCAAATCAGACGTCAGGGCGTCTGGTGGATTTGACGGCGGGCCTGAGCGACGTTGCCATTTCTTCTCCCATCAAGCCTTCAAGCCCTGCTGGCAACGATACGGAGGGAGAAAATGACGACCAAGAACCGGGAAAAAAGGAGCCAGGGAAGGCTGATCTGTTTGGTTTCGCAGATAAAGGCAAGGGGAAGGAAGTAGAGTCCCGAGGTAGCGATAGCGACTTTGCTATCCTCAGCGATGGAGCTGCTGCGCTTGCCAAGCAGCAAAATGGAGAATCGGGTGAGAAGGGCCCGTCGCGCAACAAGCCAACCTTGAACGCCGCACGAGCAAAAAAGCAGAGTGTCGCTCCCAGCTGGCTTCTCAAACTCTCCCAGGCCGCTCCTCAAGGCTCCAAACCCGCAAATACCACTGTCACGATATCGGCTAGGAGCGAAGAGGCTTCAATCGAGCCGATGATTACGACGCCCACCTATTCATATTCGCATCTTCCCCGGCGTCCTCGCCTCACCGACGACCAGTGGGCTGGAGCCATTCGAGAGGAGCTGCAAGCCCAAGAAGAACGAAAAGCAGGGACAAGCAAGAAGTCTGGGGCGCAGAGAAGAATGAAGTTGAAGGACTACGCGCGGTTGCATCTGGATATGGATCTCTCAGGTATCACGGCGCCTCGCCTCTATTCTATTCCTACCCCCAAGCAGTCACAATGCTCACGAGGGCTAGACGAGGATTCCACCTATAACGGCTCCGACGAAGAATCCGACACCAACACGCGATCCAGGTTGAAAGGCAATTACAAGAGGCTCTTTAACAGGGCTCCAGATGCGTCTCCGTCGCCGCCACCTGTACCTGAAGTCGACCTTCAGACCTTATACCCCGATCCGCCTGTCCCTCCAGACCGCATTGGCATCGCCAAACGGGTCTACGAACAAACCAACATGCACGCTTGGGCGGCAATGTCTGCACGATCACAGCCCACTCGTGCCCGTTCTTTATTCAAGACATATATACATCAATCTACAGCCTGTGATCCTTACGGTCCCGACAGTATACCTGTCTATAACGAGGTGGATCAGGACCAAAGGCCCCCTGATTTCGACTTTGTCTACTCCAACGACATGTACTACCCAGAACCGATGCCCGCCCCAGAAAAGGGCCTGGGATGTGGGTGTGATGGCCCTTGCGATCCTCAAAGCGCAACTTGTACGTGTCTTAAGAGGCAGGAATTATACTACTATGACATCGGGGTGAAAGGATTCGCCTATCTCGAGTGAGTTCACCTTGCGTTGAAGCATATCAATTACTGTTGCTCATCAATTCCGACAGAGACGGTCGTATCAAGGAAACCACTGCGCCTGTATGGGAGTGCGGCGAGACGTGTGGGTGTCCGCCGGAATGTATCAACCGCGTACGTTATAACACTGCTCTACGATTCCCATCCTACGCTTACCCGCTACACAGGTCGTCCAGCGAGGCCGCTCGCCCAAAACCCAAGTCGAGCTATTCAAGACTAAACTCAAAGGTTGGGGTGTACGTGCTGGCTCCGATATACCCAGGGGAACATTCATTGGCACCTATACTGGAGAACTGGTGACGGAAGCAGAGAGCGAGCGGCGAGGCGTGATATACACTGCGATCGGAAAGACGTGAGTACCAGTGGTACCTTCTCACAGTCACTGATTCTTTACCAGTTACATCTTTGACCTCGATGGCTACCAAATTCGACGCCCTCCCCGGGGATTGGAGAAAGTAGACGCTCGATTGGCGATCCTCGCTGAACAGGCCAGAAAACGAGCAGAGAGGGTCAACAGGGATGAGGAGAACGAAGAGGAAGAACGGTACAACGCGTACAGCGGTGAGTATTACCCGTGAAAACGGCTTATGCAGATGCAGCCTTGCTGACCACGTCCTCGCAGTTGATGCCTTCCACTATGGTGTGAGTGTGCTTCTTGCTCTGCTACTGCAATGACTGACTAATCCTTGCCTTTCTTCTCTCGGTTGTCTATTCGTACAGAACGTAAGTGACTGTCCCCCACATTTTGGTGGTGGTCGCTAACGTGGATATAGTTCACGCGCTTCTTCAATCACTCCTGCGACCCGAACCTAGCTATTACCCAAGCCTACGTCAAAGATTTCCACCCCGAGAGACCCATGTATGTGATCAGACATGATGTACGACGTAGGGAACTGCGTTACTGATGTGTTCCATGTAGCCCAGTGATGTTTGCCCATAAAGACGTCAAAAAGGGCGAAGAACTTTGCATCAGTTATAAAGGCATTCCGGTAACTCCTTCACCATACCTCTTCCCGTTCCCCCGCTTATCTCTCTTGTAGGACGAAGAGGAAATCAACGCTGCCCTCTTGAAACCCACTCCCAAGAAAAAAGCTGCTCACCTGAAGAAGAAAGATCAAGTGTCAGTGAAGGGCAAAGGCAAATTGCCAGAACAAACCGTGGGGGACGACTATTACGTCTGTCGATGGTACGTTTCTCCCCAGTATGTCAAGCATGTGTGGGTGCTGATGCTTCAATCAGCGGAGCGCCCATCTGCGACGGAGTCATGTTCCCGGGGATGTGATAGCAGAGAGGAGAGATAGGGGGTGGCACCCGCCTGAGGGGAAAGAGCGGCGTAGCGGGCCACCGGAGCATACCCAACGAAGTTTGCAGAAGCTGCCCTAATAATGCGTGTTATATCGCGCCATAGTTCTTTCGTTTGAACGTTGTACTGTAGAGTACGATGCGATACGTCGCACGTTTTTTGTACCCGAGTACTATTGGTCCCCAGTTGCCTTTAGACATTGTATCCTTCTTCCGCATATTTGCATAGGTTGATACATGGGCTCCGAGACGATATTACCGATGTATCTATCACGCAATTTCAAAGCGGATGAGACGGTGGACGGTGGACGACGGAGCTTCAGGCGGTGGAAAGAGGTCTGAGCGAGGAGGGGGGCGATGGGGTCGTTTCTAGCGTCGTGTCCAGAGCAAGTTGGAGTTCCTTTACTAGTTGTTCTATGTACTATATCAGCTGTCTTTGCGGCTGCAGGCGAAAGCAATACGGAAAGAGTTATCGACACATACTGGATTGCTCAAGGACATCCTTATACTCTTGGTTTGCAACCTTTATCTCTTCTTGGAGGCGTTGGAGTCTCTCAGCCTGGGACATGTCAGCAGAATCCTGGTTGCAGACTGCAGCGTAGCTACATACCCGCTGGGAAGAGTCTCCAGGTTTGGGAAGCACGTCGATAAGTTGTTGTATATCTTTTGAGCGGCGGATGATATCGGCGACGAAGGCGCTTATGGCAGCTATCAAGTTGAGTAAGCAGCTACACCACCATAGTCTTCAGCACAGAAATGTCTTCCGCCTACTCTTCTAGGCCAAGTAATGCCCTGCCCGAAGATTCTTCGCAAAGTGTGGAACTCACCTTTGTAATCCTCCCGACTCGCGGCATTTGCTGTGGTCAAAGTGGTAGGTATAGATTTGGAGGTCTGTTCGAACTGGGTTCGCTTGGTGATGTATTCGACGGAAGTGGAGGTGATCGTTAAGAGCTGAAGGGTGCTGTTTAGCGCAATGTCATGGGGCCGTGGCGAAGGAGCGCACATCTAAAATGGCATCCTGTAGCTGCGTGATCCTGTCCTGCGATGGAGAGTCAGTCATCTGTCTGCAGCTCTTTTACAGAAGCTTCATAAATTTTTGGATCGAAGTGCACCTACCATGTCAGTGGATAACTCTTCGTGGATCATCTCTGGCGAGGCGAGTTTATATGCTCAAGGGACATCAGTACCGGCCCCTTCTTTAGAGGGACGGCAAGGATATTAAGCTATTGATACTCGTCAGCAATGACAAGGTCACATTGTAAGACTGCTTACTATTTCGAAGCAGAAAAGCAAGAAGAGATGGAAGTCCGAACGAGAAAATGGTCGGGAGCCCGCAGGCGGAGAAGCGCGCCGCATCGTCGCGTCTGTTGTTGTTGTTACTTGTTGTGGATGCCTTGTGAAATAGATCATCTTACATCCCGACAATCATGCCCAGCTCGACAACCCTATACAGCCTCCTCTCCAACATCCTCGACAACTCCTCCAAGTCCGGCAGGCACCGTGCTTCGACAGATATCCAAGATGGACTGAAACGGATACGGCGTCTGGTCCTCACAGAGGGTATCCCTGAAGTGGTGCGTATAATGTCGCCAAAGTGGTGGGAAGCATGGCGGCAGTGTATAGGTAGAACTCTCAGACTGATAGTGATGCTGACCGTGTTTATAGCCTGGAAAGCCACCGCTGCGAGCGCGTATATGGAAATTGATGCTCAAAGTCGACACACTCAATACTGAAGACTATCTGCGCTGGGTATCTATGGGACCTTCATCCGACAGCCACAAGAGTGAGCATCGCTCAAGACTATGTGAACTAGACCTGACGAGCGATCATAGTCAAAAACGACACTTTCAGAACCTTGGCTACCGATACGCAATTCAAGGGCAAAGTGAAAGAGGACATGCTCATCCGTCTCCTAGAAGCTTTCGTATGGAAGATCACTTGTAGGCTTTCCCTCTTATATCCGCCAGGAAAAGAAGCTCATCTGTCTCCAGCTACAGAATCGGAAGACGATACACAACCCTTCAAATACGTTCAAGGCATGAACGTCCTCTCCGCTCCATTCCTGTTCACCATGCCTTCACAACTGGAGGCTTTCGCCTGTTTCTCGACCTTTATTGAGAATGGGTGCCCGCTATATGTCCAGCCGTCCCTCAAGGGTGTACACGAGGGCTTGAAGGTGAGCTCTATTCTATGTTGAGACGACGAGTCCGCAGCTGATGAGGGCGTAGCTGTTAGATCGATGCTTGGAGATTGTGGACCCGGAGCTGTATGATAGACTGGCGAGCAAAAACTTGAAGGCTGAGATCTATGCCTTCCCTTGTAAGCACCCAGACAGCATTGAACTCCAGTCGTGGCTGACAGCGTTGACCAACAGCCGTTATGACCCTCTGCGCTTGTACACCTCCTCTTGAAGAAGTACTTCAACTTTGGGAGTAAGTCTCCTAGCTATTTGTGTAACACCCGCTGATAACAGACAACAGCTTCCTCCTCTGCTTTGGTCTCCACCTCAACATCCTCTGCGTGATCGCCCAGCTCCTCCTAATCAAACAAGACCTTATGGAATCTCCCTCGTACGCCCAGTTGCGTCTTTTGATTGTTGCAAATGGCTACTGATTCCAAGTCTACAGACCGATGAAGATCCTCCGTACTTTCCCCCCACTTCAAGCGAGGCCTGTGATAGGCGTAACTGTTGCGCTGGTCAAGGATATACCGGAGGATCTGTATAGGGAGTTGGTGGCGCACCCATACGCTGTTTGAAGATGGCGAGAGAGTTTGGATGAAGTTACACAGGCGCAGCTTGTGGTGCGATTGTTCACGATCTTTCATACGATTTTACGACCTATTATGCATCTTCAAATGACAGTTGATTGACAGTATGTAGGGGGATGGCGGGCAAAGGGTACCGTCGTGGGCCGTTCAACCTAGCTTGAATTGAGAAGGTATCAGCTCCGCCCGCCTCCGCTCGTGTTGATACCTACTTACGCGGGGCAGGAAAACTGTAGGGCAGTCTTGAGCTTCTTCGTTGTCCGTTTCTTCAGCCACCATTTATGTGCTTCCACATTCCTCTTGCTCAAGAAGGGCTTCTTACGCATGACGCGCATGAAGTATCCCCTCCCATTTGCAATTGAGCGGACAGTAGACTTCGACACTCCAAACTGCTTGCCGAAGTCTTCCCAAGTGCGTCTAGGATGTTTCTGAATCTCTCGAATGAGAATCCTTTCATCCCGAGCGTCTAACTTTCGAGGTGCACCGGATCTAGGCTTGGCGGGGTATAGGCTGGGGTCAAAAGCTTTCGTTCCCTTCCACTCAGCCATCTTGCGACGCGCAGTACGCTCAGCGATGCCAACTCCTGGCCAAGCCGCAATTTCCTTGGGAGTAATTCCACAGACGATCAAACCATGAATGAAGGCGTTCTTCTCGGGGGTGCTTTGAGGGGGCATGTTGATGAAGTGGCGCTTCTGTTGACTTCAATACAGGAAGATGGGTGAAAAGTTATTCGGAGAAGGGACAACAACGAAGGGACAGATTTGATGGATTGACACGCGTACAGTAAATTGACATTACAATTTTTGACAGACAGTCACACTCACGACAGGTTGACACACAGTACAGGCTACAAAAAGACAGCACCCCTGATGGTCGTGTAGTGACCACACAGGTGAAACGCGGTCCACATGCAAATTCTCCGAACATTACAAGTACTTTCGTCATGATAAGGCGGGCATTCCTCTCGTGGATTATAAAGTCTTTGTAGATGAAGGGTGAGGCCGTGTTGAGCAAATCGCGGCAGGTGAACATGAGCTGAAGAAGAGCAAGGGAGGTGTCGGATTCGGCCAAGATCAGAGGAGGTAGTCGTATACAAGCTTGCAGACCTCTGGGGAAATGATGGTGGGGAGACTCAGCCCTTGGTCGGGATGTGAAGCGTCTTCGGATTGGCGAGTTTGGGGCATGTCGAGCAACAAGAGAATGCAAGAAGAAGTGCAAGTCAAGAGCCGAGAGAAAGACAAATGCGAACACGACGGCCGGCACTTCGGTAGATGTGCACTCGGCCGCCGGCACCCAGAGATTGTCCCACTCTTCTCGCCGACAGATCACGAGTCCAATGCATAGACGAAAAGTATTATAACACAAAAAGTCAAGTATGATGGTGGCATGATGTACAAACGTTGTTCTTTCGTGACACAATAATGAGGCTCTTATAGGAAAGAAGGAAGAGAGAGTAGCACAATGAGAACAAGGGGGGAATTCAACAAGGAAGGCGAGAGTACTCGTACTCTATATGTTACGAGTAGAAACATCGGATGCAGTTACAATGGGCGGGTGCAAGGTGATCTTGTCGATGCCTTGCTTGTGTCGGGACATGCCATAGACGAGGGCGAAACATGAGATGTGATGTCGGGCGTGGCGATATATACCCGGGGCTTCCGGGCAGTCTCAGGAGGTTTTCATCGATACTCCCAAGTACTGCAACTCTTCTGAGGGACGTGGGTGAGAGCAAGTTCTTGGAAAGGTTCTTGATTCTACGTCCGAAAGTTAGCGCTGCCCAGTGATCCGCTCGTACGACTAGATACTTACAAGGGAGTGGAAATAGTACTAGACGGCGCGCAATCATGTCAGTACGAGTATTCTTTTCAAAGAAGGAATACAAAGTTACGTACCCCTCGGATCGTAGCCTCTCTCCCTGTCGCCGACGGCTCCTCACGCTTCACCCCTCCACTCGACTTTCTCCCCGCTCCCGGTCTGAGCCCTCTCCCCATACGGCCAAGATCGCCAAGGTTCTGCCCTGGCGCCACGGGCTCGACCGTAGATGTTTGGTGGGTATCTGTGGGTTGGGGTGCTGTTCTGGGTGATTTTGAAGGCATGGCGAGGCATGGGCCAAAGTCTATCATGGCATAATAGAAGCCTGTGTCTGTGTTAATGAAGAGCTCGTGGCCAGGAAACTCAGGACACGGAAACGTACCTGCAAAACTCGCCCCAGAGATATCCTTCACACTATGATCCGGCACCAAAAACCTCTCCTTCATCCTCATAAACACAAAATCCCTCTCCCTCTCATCCTCCCCAACCTCTCTCAAAAACAGCTCCTCCCCCCTCAAATCATCTCTAGTAGACCCCCTGCGGAACTGCTCAAACCGGCCCCAGTGCCGGAGATCATCTTGCTCTGAAGCAGCATAGCGCGGGCCTGTGATGAAACCGTATTTGGGACCGATGATTTCGGCTGTAAAGAGAGTAGTGAGGTGGGGGTGAGCTTCGGTGAGGCCGACGATGGAGAGGTATCCAGAGAGGTGGGAGTTGGCAAAGTCGACTTCCTGTAATGTACTGTCAGCGCTCATCCCAGTTCTATAGGACAAGACTGACGAGGAATCGGATTTCAACATCGTATGAGCTCCTCCCACTCGTCTGTTTGCCCTTGAAGACACTCCCCGGGTATATTGAACCACGGCAGACATTGGGCTGTCTGAGGTTCGCGACTTGGTTGATGCGATGAGGTGGACCTTCGTCCCGGGTGGCATTCCAAATGTCGATCGGGCTGATCGTTTCAGACTTTGAGCTGGCGGGAAGGATAGCCTTCGGGGGTGGAGGTAGGGGGGAAGGAGATGAAGCGAGGGATGAAGAGGAGGTAGATTGCGGCCGAGAAAGGTCGTCTGGCGGTATATCGGACAACGGGGGTGGTGAGAGCTGGGGTTCAGGAGTATCGGTCTCTGCACCCCTGGCCTGATCCCCAGCAGGCTCATCCTCTGTTTTACCGCTCTCCGCTCTCTCCAAAGATATCCTCTCAGAGTCCTCCACTACTCCAGCTCTGCTGTTTACGCGTCCAAGCCCACCCCGCTCCAGCCCCTGCTCTTCCCCGCCCTCTGCCGGAAGAACAGGACGCACACCCATCAAAGCCGCACACTCCAAGCACACCCTTTCACCATGATCCGGGTCCGACAAGCCAATACAATCCGAGGTCGGGACGAGCACTGTCGCAGAGGGGTTCGGCACCCCGCACAGCGAGCATTTGAGGATTGCCGAGTCTGGAGGGTGTGGAGGGACGGAGTTGAGGGGGAGGGATGACTCTGTGGGCATGGTGGTGGTGGATGAATGGATGTAGAGAGGACAGAGTGCAGGATTCAAGTGGCAAGAGTCCCGTGGTGGACGTTGATTGGGTCCACAAGCTGCTACGATGTGCGTCTCTCGCCCCGTGTATCCCTCGCTAGGCTGTGCATGTACCCGAGCCTGCTGCATACATTCCCCCATCCACTCGCTGCCCACCCCTGCATGCATACCCCCTCCCTCAGCAGCATTCGGCCCAGTTATCAGCCTATCACGTTACGTCATGCTGCGCGGAGGGGGCCGCCGGGTACGCGTTCTGCTGCCCTTCATGATCGACGCGTCCAAATTCATCCAGTCCTTCTATCACTCAACATTCTCGGGCTCACGTCAGCACCCTCTACTGAAAATGGCCACCTTTGCATCTCGCCCTGCTGCCCCGGCTCAAGATCCCAAGCTACAGCCTTGGGTCGAAAAGTAGTGCGTCCTCCTTCTCGTCCCATCTAGTCGTATTACACTAATCAATGTCTGCAGCCGACCAAAGACGATTGATGATGTTTCCTCGCAAGATCATACCGTGGCTGTCCTGAGAAAGGCGCTTGCTTCTACAAACGTCCGTACAACGGATTCGCTTTGACCATTAACTGACCTGGCCATAGCTTCCTCACATGTTATTCTACGGTCCGCCCGGGACAGGAAAGACCAGTACCATCCTCGCCCTCGCTCGGCAACTCTTCGGGCAAGTCTTATCCGGCCGCCATTCTGTGACCTGACCAAGCTGACCTTGACGCTAGCCCGGACTTGTTCAAAGCGCGTGTTTTGGAACTGAACGCTTCAGATGAACGAGGTATCTCTGTCGTCCGAGAAAAGATCAAGACTTTTGCTAGGGAAACACCTCGGCACGCTCCTGGTGTCAGCTCGTATGCCCCATTTCTCCATTGTTCGATTCGCGCTGATAATTAATAGCGACGGTAAATCGTACCCCTGCCCCCCATTCAAACTCATCATCCTCGACGAAGCCGATTCAATGACCCAAGATGCCCAGTCGGCGCTGAGGAGAATCATGGAATCTTATTCCAAGATCACGAGGTTCTGTCTGGTGTGTAACTATGTCACGAGGTATGTCACCTCCAAAACTCGATCGAACAGTGTTGACTGTTGGCAGGATTATCGAACCGCTAGCGTCGCGATGTTCCAAGTTCCGCTTCAAGCCTCTGGAACAAGGCAGCACACAAGCGAGAATGGACATGATTGCCAAGGCCGAAGGCGTGGACACTGAAGAAGGTGTCTTGGAGTTGATCTTGGAGTTGGCCGGCGGTGATCTGCGAAAAGCCATCACGTATCTCCAAACCGGTCAACGGCTGCATGCTGCCAGCAACCCACCGACACCCATCTCCGCTCTTTCCAGTCAGTCCTCCTCTCGTTCCTCTCACCCATACTAACGATATGATAGTCCACGAAATATCCGGCGTCGTCCCCACCTCCCTCATCGAATCCATCCTCCAATCCATCGGCATCGACCCTTCCACCGGTATCGACCCCTCCCTCCTCGCCTCCTCCTCCTTCACCTCCGTCCGCACCGCCGTCCGCCAGATCACCCGCGAAGGCTGGTCCGCATACCAAGTCTTGTCCCAGCTCCACGACGCGCTCATCCCGCTGCCGGCGATAGGCGCGGTGGAGAAGAGCTTGGCGGGGCTGGTGATGGCAGAGTGTGATAAGGCGCTTTGTGAGGGTGGGGATGAGGAGTTGGCGATGATGGATTGTTTGTTGAGGATGAGGGAGATTATGGGGAAAAAGTAGTGGCGGGGGAGAGGGCGGGTATGTTGTACGATATGCTTTGCATTGAGATTGTGCGGGTCGACATTTGACCGGGATGCCTCTCAGCTAGGGTTTCCGTGGCTTTGAGCCTCATGCATCAATCTCACATCGGCTACTTTCCGTTCTCGGCGGATACTTGATCTCTCTAAGCGCTCTCTCTGCTGCTCAACTCGTTACGTTGGCAGATGGCAATTGACGTGGTTCCAATCACTCGGTCGCATACGCACCCGAGTTACCCTCACAGTAGGAATGATGCGCCGATGTATGCGGATCATCATCTCAGGCGGGGTGGGGACGTGTACTCGTATGCAGTACGCGGGTACATACACGTAAATGTGATGAGATCAGCCCGCTCGCAAGCTCCAGCCGCGAGTTCTGCAAGAGCCGGCGACAACATGTGGCTTCTGATCTGACAGCTACACCTCTTGTCTTACCAATGCCTGATCTGATTTATACTCTTGATCACCATCATAACTCAGTTGCTCGTTTCTCATCACGATACGCGGGCCAAATTGTCAATCAACCTCCAGCCACAGTTCAAGCCACGCAGGCACCACGGGATCATGTCGGGATGTCCCGAGGCGGGGGAGCGGGGGGCTTTACGCCAAATCGCCGACCAAAAAAACCTCCACCGCCACGAATCCACGTCGCGGGATTTGTTTGGCTCAAAAATTACCCAAACGGGTAATTTCATTAGCCTGGTGCTTGGTTCCGTTTATAGATTGCCCAGCTTGGAGCGTCTTGTTTTCTTTGTCAATACAATCTATACCAGAAAGCGCAACACGAGCAGGAGGAGAGTACTGGACCGACCTCGAAAGGCGTTCATCGTTTTTTTCCTACGCTCTGCGTCGTTTTCCAAGCCAACAACGACCGCCACAAACTACCATCACAACATCACACAACCCCCGTCACCCAACACACCCTAGCAACACGCAAAGGCAAGGAAGGATCGGCTTCAAGCAACCTCCTTTCTGACTCTTATCAAGTGAGAGTGAACGGAGTTGAACGTTCGCGGGACACGTTTGATAAACAAGCTCGCCGTTCAACGCGACTCCTTTGAAAGCTTGCGCTCTTTGGTCAAAAGTCAGCGCGACTTTCATTGGCATTACCCCCTTCCTCATCTCCACCTCTCTCCCCCATTCCGGCAGTGACCACCCTGCCAACCGACGCAACCCCACTTCGCAGCGTCTCCCATAGGGTCGAGCGGAATACGCATCCCGCGCTTCACTCATAAGCGCAATCCCGACAAGCTCCGACCTACATCCCCGCCGTCACCCATCCCATCTGCCGGTGTCTCCCTGACCAAGAAACACAAGCGAAACCCCCACCCACACCAAACCCAAACGGTGCGAGAAGTTCTAGCGTTACTCGCTATATCATATCTTTGCTGTTTGTCGTCATCTCGCTTGGCTGTTCAAGAGCATCGCCTTGTCATTGGCGATCTTGCCTGTCCTTATCGCCTCGACGCGTGTTTCAGCATTGTTTAGGTGCTCTCGCCGCTTTTCGCTGCTTGGCCGCTTTGGTGCTTTAAAGGCAAGAAGCGTTTGGTCCTTCTTTCCATTCGTTCTATCCAAGGTACGTGCGCTTTATCCATCAATGGAAGGTCATCGCTCAACATGTCTTTGCAGGTTGATATCCTTATCATCCAGCTGATTTGCTGTCGAACACAGCCTCTCTTCACGCACCATTCTATCACTACTACTCTGTTCGCCATGAACATTAGACACTAATTCGGCTTTTGTCGAGTTATCGTCCCCTTCGACCTCGTCTATCGACACCCTCATCGCCCGAGTTCTATCTTCTCATCGGAGAAGATTCAAGGCTCATTCGACCAGTCAATCGCATAATCGACCATCTCCGCATACACATCTGTCACAAAAAACTCTTGTCTGTAGCCAATACCCATTCGCATACGCATCCACCCCCATATCATCACATATCAACATATCAACCCCAGCATCATGTCAAGCACGATATACCACCCCGCCCCCATGCCCCACTCTCATTCCCCATCCCCCATCCCATTCTACCAGTCCAACGCCATGTCACCTACGACGACGAAGCGTTTACGCTCATGCCTCTCTCCAACACGGACGAGATGCAGCTCGCCAGCGCTCTATCCCAACGCTGGGTCGGGCAAATTCGAAGCTGCCGGTGGAAGAGGGGTTGGGGAACAGGGTGGGAAGAGGGTCAAGACTGTTAGGTGGCAGGAGCTGAACGGGTGTGCTGTCGCTGTGAGTATTTTGCTCACTAACACGCTGATCGGGAACTGATCAGGAGATAGTCCTTCCACGATACCTACTCGCACGAAGAGTACGACCGCACTCCGCTCGAACCGCCTGCGCCCGAAGAGCGCGAATGTGTTCTGCCTGAACGCGGCTCTCGCTGTCTCTCCGCCATCTTGTCCAGCTCCACTTCCTTCTACTCTGCCCCTACCATGTACGATGACGACGAGGAAGAAGAGGAGGACGATGATCTTCGGGCATGTTCCTCCGATTTGGACTCGTTCATGCTCCAAACGCCGCCTAGTACGGAGGTCCATTCCGAGGACGGTGATCCTTCCGACCGTGACGAGGAAGGAGAAGAGGAGGAGGATGGATGGGATTCGTGTATGCAGAGAAGACGGATGATGTTTTCCCGTCTGTGTGCGCGAAAAGGAGCAGAGGGAGAGAGGTATCCCGAGTTTGAGGGGTACAAGTCGTTATCTGCCACGCTCGTGCAGCTGCTGCAGAGTGTTGGGTGTGATGATGGCGATGCCACCGAAGCTGCTCGTGGCGAGAACGAAGAAGAGGAAGATGACGAAGAGGAAGAGGAAGAGCGGGGTAGAGATAGAGGTCTCAACATCTTTGGTCTCTCTTCACTTCCTCCTCGCCAAGAAGAGGCTATCGAGACTGGCACCCCGTCGCTCGTGTCCACTGAGGAAGCCGAGAGCGAGATTGAGTGGAGCATACGTAGCCCCGATGGCGGCTCGTGCGGCAGTGGCTTCCCTGTGATATTGGGAAGGCCGATAAGAGGGGAGAGCTTGGACTTGGTCTCTGGCGTAGAGGGCGGAGATGCGGACAAGGTCCAGATGGCGTCCGCGTACGCGGGGGAGAGGTGGAGACGGGCGAGCGACTAGACATTAAATCATATCAGACCATATAGTGCTTATTAGCCCGGAGATGGGGGTAGAAGTAGACCGGGGTAATACATATACGACCACACTTATGACATATTATGAACATCTTTCCAATCACTGTACATGGACTTGTTGTCATTTGAATGAAAGCTGCCTCCACTTTGCTCCAACCTCCACCGGGAGAGTGGCGAACGACTCTGATCGATTCACTCGCATTACACATCCTCGCCATTTTCTTGTGATCCTTCTGTGCCCATAAAAGTGGGTTCAATCACCTGTACTCTCAAGGACCCTCTATCAATCCCTCAAATTTTCAACGACGGCAGGAGCTTGCCCGGTTATTGCGCGGCCCGGCTTATAGAAAATCACGAGGTCCTTCATCACTTCGGCAGCTCAGACCAGCATCAAAGCTCTGCTGTGTACACTCAGGCATCAAGGGCTGCATGGATAGGGCAGCGTACTTGCGGAACGATATCACAAATCTGTACCCCGCTCTGGTAGCACTGCAGTAAGTGTAGCCATCGTCGAGGGGAATCTGGTGCTGACCGTAGCCCTTGTAGTTCCTTCACTTAACATGGCCGCTTTTGAGGTATCAGCTGCAGGGTCACCCTCCTCCACCCCCGAGACAGCGCCCATCCTACTCCTCCCTCCCGAGATCATCGACCACTTCCTCACTCTAGTCCCTCCTTCCGAGCTTCAGCTCACAGCCCTGTCCTTACTCAAAGTCTTTCCAAACCACAACATCTCAAGGCGGCATCTATGGAGGCACCTGATTGTGTTTAGAGCTGGGCAGCTATGGCCGCTGTGGCAAGTGTTGAAGCAGGAGGAAATGATGAGGCGAGGTGTCAGCACTTTTTGCCTGGTGCGTCTCTACACAAAAAGACCTGCAGGTGTTCAGGACTGACAGTGATACAGCAATCGTGGCAGGGAGATGCGGACATCCTGAACAATGTGATGCGCCGTCTCACCCACCTCCATACCCTCATGCTCAACATTGGAACGAATTTTGCGCCGGAGCATTTGGAAGAGATGTTTGAGACTCCGAGGATGGACTTGGAGAGGATGGAACTGAGGTTCAGGCCGTATGTGGAGCAAGCGAGCTATTATCAGTTTTTGGCTGGTAAGTCGTTATCATATCATGACGAAGGTCTTGCTGACATCGCTACAGGGTCGTATTTCGATACTGCTATCGAAACACTGACGAAGAAGTGGCCCGTTTGTTCAAACTTTACTTATTTGAGTATCGTACAGGACCTTCCCCCTCGGTCCACTGTCCCTCCAACGGCTCGAACCACTGCTGCCAACTCTGCGGCCAACTCTGGAGTGAACTCCCTGGCCAATTCCATCTCGGACCTCCGCCTCGAAGCTCCTTCAGGCCAATCCACCGCATCGCCGTCCGACAGCGATAACGAAGACTCCACCCCTCCCACGTCCGTCGATGATCCCAATCCATACGACAAATCCAGGACGAAAGCCTACACTGGCCATGGTCCGTTTGGTAACCCTTTTCTCAACGAAAAGATGGGCATCACCAAACCCAAGACTTTTGCCCAGCCTATCGTCTTCTTCGATATTCGGTGTATCGCGACATTTGGCGGTAGCGCTTCGGCTGCCAGCCTTACTCACCTCCGTATCCGTGTCCCCTCTCGCGACCTGGCGCGGGTGATGATCATGCCCCCTCCCCGAGGAACTCGCTCTCAGACCCTCTTCCCCGAACTCCGCTACCTTGACATTTCCACCACCAACGTCCGTATCGATACCACCTTCTCCGCCCTGCTAAAGCAGTATCACAAACTCGAGCATCTCGTCCTTGACCGAGTCAACCTGTTTGGGTTCACGGCGCGAGAAAAGGGCTTGGAGTTGTGTAGCGACTTGGGAGCGCTCTTAGTGAATGTAGGTCTGGCGAGGTCGAAAGAGCGTGAAAAGCAGATGGCGGCTTGGGAAATGGCAGAAAGGGTGAGGCAAGCGGAGGCGGCTGCTGAAGCTGCTCGTCGAGAGGCGGAGCTGCGGGCAGAGGAGGAAGCAGGTGAGGAAGAGCAGGGCGAGACGGATGAAGACAGGCGAACGAGGGAGGCAAGGGAGGAGATTGAGCGGAACCTGGAAGCAAACAGGCGTCGTCGGGGACCTCGGTCCATGGCCATGTCGACTTTCTCGCTACGGGACCGCTCGAGGAGGACTGCAGCGGACTCGTCAGCATCGTCGAGCACCAACAATCTTCCTCTTCCCCCGCAAGACAAGCTGTACTTTGTTCTTCCGCCTCTACCGACGCTCAAGTCGATATCTATCGGCGGTGAAGCGCATACCTTGTCAGCAGACAAGGTGCAGGACTGGGAAGACCAGTTCCACGAAGGATGGCTGGAAGGACTGGAGCGTATCTTGGGCTGGGCGGCGCACTTGACAGACAAGTATGAGCGAGCGCAGAAGAAGGCTGAGGAATGGCGTGTTGCTGAGCAGAAACGTCTCGGACAGTCCAGCAGTTCCTCTACACCTGCTGCTCCCACCGGCCCTGGGGCAAGGGGAAGTAAGAGCAAGGGCAAGCTCCCCGCCGCTCCGAAAGTCAACATCAAGCCACCCACCGACATCCGTCTTTTCCGTTTTCCGCACCCTTCTGAACCATACTCGACCGAGGAAGACGTCAACGTCCGACCAGGACCATACAACCTTACTGCGGGTCTTGTTGAGATTCTGCCCGCTTCTCCCGGCGATCGAGAGTACCTCGAGCCATACAAGACGGCCATGTCGGATGCCCAGCTTTACTTGGACGGGCAGGCTGGGGAAGGGGCGAGACCGCCGTGTGTGTTCTGTACGGTCCCCGACTGCGAGGGGCCGGCGAGAAAGGGTGCGGAAGGAGAAAAGGTGGATGGGAGAGGCGGGATGAATGGGAAGCACAGGGATGGATGCGGGCATATGCTCGGGAGGGAGACTTGGGGCTGGAATGGTTTGTGAGGGGATGATAGAGTTGTCAAGTCTCAATACCATGGACATGTTGAATATGTACTTTCTAGTCTCAGGTGGAATGTAGCATTTGACTGATAGCCATAATGCGTCATATGGGCACTACGGTCACAACAACAGGGAAGCACTGTGCAATCTGATTGGTTTGTGACAAAGTAGATGGCCCCGATATATTGCAGGAATTACATGCGAAGGTGGAGATCAAACATACAAGATATCGAAAAGGTACAAATCCGCCTACTCATCCCTCTGCCTCTTTCTGGCTCCGTCGGTATCATCAGCCTGCCTCTTGCCTCCCTTCCTAGCAGCATCCATAAACTGCTCAACCCCGAAAGGATCAGAAGACCCATCCAGCGAAATGACCTTGTCCTTCTCAAACAGCACCGGTCCTTCCCTAGCATCTGCCTTGTCGGCACCCTCGAACCCTCTCGTCGCATTGCCAAGGGCAAATCTGTCTTTGGACATCTCCTCCTTGATACCGTCTTCTGTACCACCACCAAAGGACTCGTCGTTGCCATGCGAAGCGCCGACGGGCTTGTAGATGGCAGCAGCGGCGGAAGAGCCGGCAAAAAGGGGTTTATCGTAGAGGTTGTAAGAGTCTTCGGCGGCAAAGGATGTGGACAGGGCTTCTCGGTTGAAGAGACGCGAGTCGAGAAGAGTCTCTTTGGAGGCTGAGGGCTTGGCGAGACCGAGGGCGATCTTTTCTGAAATGTCTCGGTTTGCTTCCCTGCGTAAAGAGTCAGCGCCAGCACAGTTTACGGATGAAGAGTACGCACTTGGCAAGCAGCTTTGCTCTGGCCTCTGAACCCATGTTTGACAGACGCATCTCCTTCTCACGCTCTCTCTTCTTTTCAGCCCGCACAAGATTACGCTCCCTGATAGCCTCTTCGTCCTCTTCTTCCTCGTCTTCCTCTTCGCTTTCTTCCTCAGACTCGCTCCCACTACCATAACCTCCAAGGCCCATGCCAAGAGAAGCGGGAGGCTTGCTGCCAGAAGCAATGGAGGGTGTAGTAATACCACTCCTTCCTTCCCTCGCCCTCTGTGCCGCCAATCGCAATTCCTCCTCTTGAGCCGTCTTTTGCTTTTGCGCCAGGAGCTTTTGCATGTTTGCTCGCTCCCTGACCTCGTCTCGGATGTGGTTGTCGGCAATATACAGAGCTTCGGAGAGCTTGGCAAAGTTGTCGTTGATGTGGATATCTTGCAAGCCTCGGCCATCGGCGGCAAGACGCTTGTCCAGCGGAATGGTGTAACCCTTGTTGTTCTTCCAGTTGGAAATACAGGGAGGGATCATCCAATCCTTCTGGTCTTGCGCGGTAGCAGCTCGTGGAGGAGATTGGAGGACAGGAGCGGGGGGCTCATCAGGCGCCCTGGGGATCTTCTTGTGCTTGAACCTAGGAGGTTCAAGCGGGTCCTCCTGCACCTCTGTCATCTTGATAATCCTCTGCTTGCCCTCGCCTGCCGACTGGTTGGCGGGGGTGTATCGGACATAGGTAGCGTCGGAGTTGGTTTTGGGTACGTGTTTGGGTTGGGCGGCCTTGATCTTGCCGTGGGTGATGCGCTCGAGGGCGAGTCGGGTACGTTCGGCGGTTTCGTTGACAGAGGCATTGTCTGGTCTCTCCATTTGTCTATCGGATTCGGAAACATCTGTTCTGTTGGCGAGGGGCACAAGATCTGGATACGATGAGTCTATGCTCTTGAGGAACAGAAAAAGACTCACCCTTGAAGCTTGACTGCACTTTCGACCCCGCCGCTCGTCCATGCTGAGCAATCGCATCGTACCTCACCAAGCCATCAGAGTCCACCTGCAACGCCAACGTACTGCCCGCTCCCTTTGCCTTCCTGCCCATATCAAGCGGGTACTGCGCGACATGACACTACACCCACCAACCTTCGTCAGTGGCGAATCTCACAACAACTTGGTCGAAAGCAGGGAACTGACCTCGGGATAAGCACCACCGCCGTTGAAATCGGCGGCAGTCTTGGGCTTCCATCCTTTCCTCGCTCCGTATTTTGGTAATTGAGGGCCTTGAGGGGCGGTGGGGAGAGAGGGGGCGGGGACGACATCTTCCCACTCTGTTTGGCGGACTGGAGCCGGGAGAGCTCTGTTTTGATCCGTTTTTGTCAGCGAAACTATGCGGGCGTAGCTGAAGATTTGAGGATCACGCACCGAGCAAGAGCAGCCATTTTTGTTATACGTGTGGATGTGAATAGGGGGGTTGTATTGATAAGATTGCGACCAAGATGATCACCACCTGCGGAA